ATGATAAATAGTTATTCCTCATAATTTCAATTAAATTATTCATTTGAGGACTGGGGAACCATATTTTCTTTGATTGGCAGATTCTATCCCAGTCTTTTACTTTTGGATCCTTTTTTTTTCCTTGCAGGCAAATGCATGAACCTCCATGCTAATATTAAATTAATAGCTGACCACTCTTAGATTTATTTACCTCTTTAATGACGATACCTAGCAGGTGACATATACATTCCTTGAAACACTCTAGTTCCTATTTGATTTTCACTAATATAAAGATTATTGAAAAAAGACTAAGGTGCTCTATAGTGATCAGTCTATTCATTCATCTGTCTGTCAAATACATATATCCCATGTTCAGAGTACAGGTGACTCTAAATACTTCAAACTTTATATTTTTTAATTAGATACATGTAGCTGCTTTGGAACATCTGAAAGGTCTATTACATTATCACTAGTTTTACTAGTTTTCTTCATGTAAGTTGAATATATTTTAACCTTTTAAATTTTTATTTTTTCCAGGTAAGAAAGAAATTCAGGAGTTCTTAAATTGCCCTTGGAGTTCTTGGATTGCATCAAACTGCTAAAAGACCTCAACAAAAACAGCGTCTTGAAAATAAAAATGAAAATATTCAGTGAAAAAAAAATGATGAAAGAGCCACTAAAAATCTTCAAGCCTTTGAGCTGAAATCTGGAAGTCAATCTGTGGACTTTACTAGTATGTCATAATTACTAAGTCATCATTTGTGTATAATAAATACACTAAACTGTAAACACTTGTTAAAATGTGTATAATTTTTAGATATAATTTGTAGCTCACAGACTTCAATAGTTTCATGTAATGTAAGTAATAATGAAAATTTCCTGTTGTCTAGCTAGATTAGAAACTATTATTGTCCAATTTTGGATATTGTGAAATAATTCATCTAGTATGCATACATGTGTGTACACTTACGTGTAAATTAATTGTTATAGCAAATTCAATCGATCATTAAGTTGAATGTTGACTAATGTTTTTCATCAAAATTGTTTACACTGAATTGTTTGTGGATTTTTCCATTTGCCCAGTCATGTCAAGGAGCACATGGCAGGAAATGCTTTCTCCTCCATTGCACCTGGTGTTTTTAGAGGTCTGTGTTTGCTCTGCTCTAATTATGTATTGTTTCAATGGACTTTAAAGCTTGATCACTGTTGGTAATCTTCATATTTCATATACTATTAGAGTACTTGAAGAAAACTGTAAAGATTTAACATACAGTATAATGCATGTATATTGCACTTTAAGTACAGTGTATGTGGTTAAGAAATGTTAAATCGTCTCATAGTGCATTGAATTTGTTGAAAATTAGAAAATGTGTTGAATTTTTTTTTGAAATAATGTTAGATTGCAGATTTTTTTAAATCATGCAAGTAAGAAATTGCTAAATATTTTTTAGCTTTTCTGGACAGTCTAGATGAGTTCTTATTATATACCTAGCATTGTCATCCCAGTTAAAATTTAAGGAGCAAGGTTCATTCCTAAGCTCTTCCTGGACAAACTTGCATGGATTAAAGCACATTAACAGATTTACTTCAGATGCTTGACCTGATCTACATTTTCCTCATGTGTTTTTTTTTTGTTTTTGTTTGTTTGTTGTTTAACATCCCTCTCAAGAATTTTTCATCCATATGGAGATGCCACTACTTGCTGGTGGAGAGCTGCAAAATTTTACCTATACTTTGCACTCAGGGCCTTGAGCAGTAAGGGATCTTTTTTGTGCCCACATCAACTGCTAGGCGGGACCTCGGTTTATATGGTCTAATCTGAAGGACTGGTCCCCACATCCCCAGTGGATTTGAACCTGAGACTTAAGGATTAAATCCTTACTCGCGACTCTAGATTACAAACTCTATCCTTTGCGCCACATGGGGGACTCCACAAGATTAAGTGTTTTGAGCAGTCCTATTCTCATGTAATTATAAACTCTATGTTGAACAAACCTGCAAAGATGATGTATGTACATGTAAATGTTTCAGGGTACCAATCCTTGATTTGACTTAGATTTTCTGGATTAATGACCAGTTTTTTAGAGAAGGTTCATTCAAAGTAACAATATACTCTTTGGTGATCAGTAAACATAGATGATGTATCCTGCTTCTGATGCTGGATGTAACATACATTTTCAGGGTTATTGAGCAGTTAAATCTAACCCAGACCAACTTGCATAGATTTTGGATCCAGGTGATATACATTACCAGAGTGTTTGTTGAGTGAGACTTTGCCTTACTAGTAGATAACATTTATAGAAGTGAGCTTTGTATTCTTTGATTAGGTATGTTTTTTCTTTGCTCAGGATATATATACCATCAGTGCCAACTACCATACATTTTATATAATAGATGTAGCTGTTGTTCAACTGAATATGATAAAACTGTGGATGAAAATAATTTGATTTTTGTACCTTTGAATGTATTGAATTCATTTGTAAAAGCTGTTATGATACAATGTTTGATATTTTATAAAAGTTTTTAGCATATGCAATCAATAAATGTATCAACATTTTTATTTTATTATACTTTTTACCCTGCAAACTTCTTAAAAACAGAATAGTAATGATCCATTTAACTGATACTAGGTTAGTGTCACATTGTACTGGTATATCATGTATACTGAACTGTAAATAAGAAACATCTAAATAGGTAAAATCACAGCATGAATCATTGGATTATGTAAGAAGTGCACTATCTTGTGCTTTGGTATGGTATTAATAATAAATGTTAAACTATCATTTTTTTTTCAAATTAACAAAGGATATGCTTGAGTGACTGTATTTTGACTAGCAGTAAAAATAAAATGATTTTTAAGCATTTGAATTATTTTGATTCATGGTCTCTGCAAGTTTAATGATAGCAAATATGTATATTGAACATGGCATCCACATATTGCTATACTGGATGGGGCTTAACTTTTACTGAATCTTAATCACAACCTTGAAATTTTATGTAGTACATGTACTCTTGGTTTCAACTGGTCAAATGTATTCTTAAATCAGAAAGAATTTAAACAAATATAGGCATAGGTCAGAACTTCATCAATTAGTTGGAAAGCGAATGCACTCAGTGACTATATGGTTTAAAAGAAGCTTGGTATAAATAGCAGGAAAAACTACTTGATGTCCACTGTGAACTTTGTGTCCTCAACAAAACAATATGGAGTATACTATACTTGGTCTAAAGAATAATCTATGTCTGCATTCACTTTTAGGTTAAACTGTTTTGGGCATTGAGAGTTTGTTTGTTGTTTAACGTCCCTCTGGAGAATTTTTCACTCATATGGAGATGCCAACACTTGCCGATGGAGAGCTGCAAATGAGCTATGCTCGTCACTCAGGGCCAATGGGCAGTGAGGGATCTTTTTCATGCCAGCATCTACTGCGACACTGGACCTCTGTTTGTACGAAGGACCAGTCTCTACGTCCCACAGTGGGATTCAAACATGTGAGAAAAGGATCAACTAACTCCACGACTCTAGAGCATTGGCTCTTTCCACTGCACCACGTGGGCGACAGCATTGAGAGTTAAATGTGGATATCAGAACAAGCTACTCTGGGCTTATACTCTCTATATATTGATTGATTGTATATTGTTTAACATTCCCCTCAAGATTTTTTCACTCAAATGGAGACACCACCACATGCCGGTGGAGATCTGCAAATTTTGTCCTATATCGGCACTTACGGCCATTGAGCATCGAGGGATTTTTTTCGTGCCAGCACCTACTGCGACACAGGACCTCGATTTATACGGTCTCATCTGAAGGACCGGTCTCCCCATCCCACAGTGGGATTTGAACCTGCGACGTAAGGATCAACTCCTTACTTCGCTACTCTAGAGCAGACGCTCTAACCACTGGGGCAACTACTCTCTATTTAAGTCACTTGTGCAATGACTTTAGTTTAATTCAAAGTTTTGTACTGATCATGTTGAGTCACATTAGCACAAATATCTTTCTGCTGACCTTGACTAATGACCATCTGCAACTATTCTGGTTAGAAACAATATGTTAATTAATGCATAATAAGTGAAATTACTATGAAAGAAAAATGGTCTACTTAAACCACAAGTTATATTTATAAAAAATATACACTGGTCTCCTTAAGTCATATGAGAGAAACATAAAATATTAAGGAGACCATTTTTTTCATATATTTTTAGGAGGCATTTATTATGAAAAAATAAAGCAAGAGTCGACTAAATGGTGTTCTATAGATCTTTGATCTGGTATTTCTTTTTAGAAAAAAGCAAATTTAAAAAAATTGTATATTGTCTCCTTAAGCCATATATAATGGTCTGGTCTCCCTAGTCCTTAAATCAGAGTTATATATATATATATATATATATCAATCATAAATATTTTAGGAATGACTCTAATTCTTGGCCAAATTATTCGCGTATAACCTGGTTTGGGTCAGTTTACGCTGTTTTATAATCCGCGAACCTGGTTTGGGTCAGTTTACGCTGTTTTATAATCCGCGAAGCGGATTATAAAACAGCGTAAACTGACCCAAACCAGGTTATACGCGAATAATTTGGCCAAGAATTAGAGTCATTCCTTATAATTTAATTTTAAAATCATCAAATAACTATGGGTGTAAAATTTTGTTGCTTTATATTAGTTCAAATTTGCCGCTCAATAATACAACCGTAGTAACGGAAGTACCGGAAGTGATGGGAAGCGAGGGGAGGTAAAAACTGATACATAGGCCTAGCAGCCTTGTTGTTTGTTTACACGTGGTAAGATCGAATTATTGTTTGGTACATTCATTAAATCTGGAATTTTCCATGAATCCCGAGGACTGGAAATGAGAGGATTGATTCAGCTGGTTGTCAGGGGGGTGTGTCCCCATACCAAACCATGTTATACAGAAATAATTTGTGTTCCTTTTTGGATATTAACCAATCAGAGGTTAGAATACAAACAAAATTAAATTATATGTATATACTAGAAATTATAATCAGCAACAAACCTTGACTTTCTCCATTTCCCATTTTTCTCTCAATGAAGCTGAAATATTTCACAGAAGAAGTGGCGGATCTAAGTAAAAAAGAAAAAGAAACCTACCTTATATAAGAAAACAACTAAATAAAATGGTGAAAGGTTTAAGTATTACGCTTACCCTTCCCGTGTCCTTGTATTCTCTTATGGTAGTTGCTGGTGTGACACGATAGACTAAAAACATAAACATAACATGCATGCGCTATAAGATGTTGGAAATACCAGAATGATGTGCATTTCTGAATATTTGAATAAGTGTTTTTAGTAGGTGAGTATTTTAAAAAATTCATATTTGAGAAATTGATAAAGTTAATCATAAAAAAGAAGAAAAAATGAGTATTTTATTTGTAATCAGAAAAAAGAGATATTTAAATATTCACGTGATTTTCTCCTAAAATCTCATTGCACTACTTAAAATTAGTAGAGGTAGACAATAACATCCTCAGTGGTAATTATCGTGAGTTACCTTCAAAAGTGGGACACATCCTCTCTTTCATATCTAGTTCCGAGCCATTAGTGGCCAGTCACTTTCAATTTGACCTTAATACTATATTTACAATAGTACTGTTTATATTTACTGCGAATTATTAACTATAATATTAATTGTAATGCATCTATCTGAGACATTTGATGTTACATTAATAACAAAGGAAGAAATATGTTTGATTCATTACATCAAAATTGACTGTACACATGTAATTATTGACTACATTGTACATATACAATGTAAAGTTCCCGACAACGAACTGAATATGAAAAAAAAAAACATGTAGTGATATCTTAAGTTTCATCCAAAAACGGAAAGATGACAAATAATGTTTAGCTATTCCCTAATATTATTCAGTGTTTTATTTTTCAGAAATGAAATTAGCATGATTATAAAGACTCATCTATATGAAATGTGATGTTCCTCTCTCTCTAACGAAGTATCTATCAAGGATTCATACATGTAATTTTTAGAAAATGCAGTTATGTGCATGTTATGTTATGTGCACTTTACACTTCATTATCCGTTCAAGTGCCTGAGAAGTTTTTTTGTTATTTTATATACAATTTCCTGTCTAGACATCATAGTGAAAAACCTTAAATGTTTTTGCTCAGCAGAATGACACTTTTCTACAGTGCTTTGCCTTGAAATTTGATTTAGAAATATGGGTTTCTCGGACTATAATGACCAACTGAGTTAGGAGGACTAGATGGAGCTGGTAATCTAGATGTCACATACATTTTACTAAATATGAAGAGCCGCCCGCGTGGCGCAGTGATTAGAGTCGTGAAGTAAGGAGCTTACGTCCTAACGTCGCGGGTTCGAATCCACTTCGGGACGTGGAGACCGGTCCTTCGGATTAGACTGTTTAAATTGAGGTCCCGTGTTAAGTAGGTGTTGGCAAGAAAAAGATCCCTCACTGCTCAATGGCCATGAGTGCCGAGTATAGGTATAAATTTGCAGCCCTGCACCGGCAAGTGGTGGCATCTCCATATAAGTGAAAAATTCTTGAGAGGGACCTTAAACAATAAATAAACAAACAATCAAACAAAATGTGAAGAGGACTTTTGTCCAATTTTGCATTCCATATTTTATATAAACTAACTGGAAAAAAATATTTCAAATGATTCAATGCATTTTCAATATATGAAATTGCCCTCACCTTAGGGACGAAATTTCAATTTGTTGAAGGATTCATATTATATCGAAATCATAGATACCTGTTGCTCGCTACATATTTTAACATGTAAAATAAACTTTTAATATATTACCGATTCACACGCAAATCTGAATCTTTGGAATTACGGACCATTCTTTTAACATTTCTGCTTATTATAATCTTACAGTTTCTCTTCTTGCCAATAATAAAAATAATTCAAAAGTGATTAACATTTATCCCATCCTAGAACAAAGACTCTTGACCCAGGTGATTTCACAATTTTAAAAATAAAGCTAAGTGCTCATTATAATCAGTTAAATAGTTTGCTAAAAGGATGTCAGTGAATAACGAAGACGTTCTTCGGCCAAGTTAGTCCCACTCTCGGACCTTAATCTGAAACACAAAGATCTTGAATTTCAGTTTTAGCGAATGTTAACTGTTCATTATCCTTCGTAATTATGCATTTTTTTAAATTTTAGATTGCCTAAACCGAGTATTCTGCACCTCTTTAAATATGGGCAGTATTTTATCTCGGCCTTGGGGCTATGGTAAGATTATATATTAGTTCTTAGATAAAATAATTTTCGATTTTTTTCCTGAAATAAAATAGTCTATATGTTTATGGAATTGTGTTTGAGCAGATGAAAATATAAATTATTTTCACATGTAAGTGTCACAGACACTTGTGTGTGTGTGTGTGTGTGGGGGGGGGGGGGTGAGTTTAACTTTCGTCAAGTATACCTATGATTTATGTTCGATGAATTCTATGTACAAGTAATTTACCAGTCTTTCATCTTGCTGGTCCTGATCTAAATGAAGTACTGGAGAATTATACAGAAGATAATCATTTGACTGAGTGCTCCAAGAGCTGAAAACAGCCCAACGGAAGCTTGGGAAGGGGGATCCGGACCCCCCCCCCCCTTCCACCAATGGATTCTCACATATTAAATTTGCAGAGTAAATAACTATAACTAATTGGATATCCCTCTCTGCAAAGTCTGTCCTTTAAGAAAAATAATTGCTGAAATATATACTCAATTTCACTACGGAATGTTCCGTCTACTTGATCAATACATAAGGTTCATGGCGGGTATTACCTGTCAATAGGGGATGCTTACTTACTTCACTAGGCACCAGTCCTGAACAACCTTTCAGGGGAATTTTCAGAGGACTATGCTTTATGCCTTGTTCACAAATTTGTATTTTTGTGGACTTTTTGAGATCGATCACTTTTCGTTATTTTCATTCATACATAATTTGCGACAAGAAAATATGATCATATGGTAGATAGCAAAACAGAAATCATTAAGATAATGATTTTTTCCGATATTATAATAAGTAAAACAAAATAATGACGTTTTTCTTCTTATTTTGTATGAAGAGAGTATAGATGTGGATGTCGTTTTCTCAAAAGACGTACAGAAATGGAAGCACAGCGCAATTTCGATGCTGGAAAATATGAAATTGGAAAACAGAGGACGTGATCTCAAATTAAAAGTGCACTGTATGAACGCTCAAGATGCTATAGATAATATATGGATCGTATTTTGTAAGGTTGTGTGTTTTCCAGAGCAGGGAAATGTTGACGTTGTAGAGTCAATACGAAATGTCCAGTTACCAAAAGCTGAAAAAGACGGTAAATATTCTCCGTATAAAAAAGAATTCCGAAATACTATCAATTAGGGTATATCACTTTCAATGAATAACCTTCCGCATTTTTTGTATGATTTATACAAAGAATAAAAAGATGGTTACCTCATGATCTGCAATAAGGATGTTGTGAGTCAAATAACAAAAACAATAAATTTAAAAAAAAAATTGCTATCTTCCAATCAATATCCATGATTAATCCTTTCTAGCATTTTGTTTCTCTCACCTTTTGCAAAATTACAGTGCACCACAGTCCTGAAACGTTCTACTTTTCCATTTTTCTATTTCCTCACCGTTCGATCAGCGTTCGCTCACCGTGCGCTCACCGTTCAAGTGGGAAAGTAGAACCTTTCAGGGACTGTAGTACTAAAAATATATGATTTTGGCACGGGTGAACACTGAACAGTATTTGCTTTCACTATAATTCGTATCTTAAATTTCTAATGTATGATGCTCAGTGTATTAAATATTTGCCATACTCATTGCAATTTTTAATATTTTAAGTCTAACCATTTTAGGCATGGTTATCATGATCGGAGATAATGCAGAGTTTGAATTCGTTCCATGTTACGAAGACTCGAGGATTAAATACATTACAGTTGTCAGTTTTCCAGACAGCACATACAGAGCATGTTGGATGATCAGTGGCCTTATTTCAGGGGGTATGAACAATTTTTCTTATTTACATGTGTGTTACATACTTATTTATACATGTATGTCAAACTTATAATAATACAATAAAATACTCATTTTTTCCTGTTTCAGATTATAGTAGAAGCGACAAAAATACCTTTGGTAAGAAAGTTTACGATAGTTTCAAATAAAAATATCGTAACCTTGACTATGTGTCTAGTGGTTTGCATTTAAGCATACTAAAGTAGTAATTTTTACAACAATTATTTTTATACAATGTCATTATTTCATAAAATATTCAGACTAACAATTCTGAACAAACATTTTAGAGAAGAATAGCTTGAGAACAACATCTATTTTGATAATTCCTGATGCTTCGATCTTTAAGAACATCACTGAACTCTTTAAAAATATCGTATTTCGGGTATTTCACATTTAAAAAAAATAAATTATTATTTATTGCCTGAATGACTTTAATTTTATCATATAAGACTTTCATTATTGCTGTTTTCCTCAAAAGTAATTTTGTTCCTTCCAAATATGAGATGTAAATGTAGGTTTAAATGTGTTGAGACTACTTGTACCTTTCTATTTAGGCATTACAAACTGCAACAGTGAAAGACGAAAACAATCCGATGATATCCGAGAGGAAAGAGTTTCAATTAAGAATGAAAATGAATCGGCTGGTCTTACATTTCAATCAACATGGGCTCGTTCTAACAAAAAAAGCATTTACATTAGATTCTCGGCACCTTTGTCAAGAAAAGCGTTTTCAGCTTTCATGGAGAAGTACCTTGTAGGGATCGAGCCTATTTGGGTGACAGGAGAAGACCCTGTAGAGGAAGGGTCCACCTGCCTCATCCTCTGCTTCACACTGTCTCGTCTAATGGATGACATTTCAGCTATTGTGAAGATAACACCAAAACGTAAGACGACCACATAACTACATACACATACTACATACGTATAATAATCAGACATTGATAAATAGCATTCGTTGTATTTTAAAGCCTTTATCCTTGAACAAAGCGCATGTTTTGTTTCTTTAGGTTGTAATTGTATGCTTGTTGTGATCCACAACTGCAGACAGGGAACCTCTCCTGGGCCAGTGCTAAAACATAATCCTGATGACTGCTTCCAAGACTTTACTAATATTATCTACGGCGAGGGTGACTGTTACATTTGCTCCCTGAACTCAGAAGCAACAGAGACAATTCAGGCCTTTATCGATAAAAACTTATAATTGCTTTTTAACCAGTATGGGTTGAATAAAATATTAGTTTGCTGCAGTATAGCCAAAGGAAACAGTTTTTTTTCTTCACTTTTTGCACATTACATCGGAATGTAAAATCATTACGTTGGAGATAGTTAGCGGAGTCGTGATGATGTAAACCAATTCATGTCTATGGATCATTCAGACGAAAATGCCTAGCTTCATAATGTGGCATTTATAAAAAAAAAAAAGGACAACGAAAACTATTAATAATCTAACAATGGTTTTCTGTCTCAAACCTGCAAATAAACGAATTTCATGATGAATTATTATTATGAACAAAAGATCCAAACGAGTAAAGTTGCATTTCCGAAAGTATTATCAAAGTGACTGGTGGTGACTCACAATTAACAATTATTTTAAAAAGGAGGGACAAGTGCTTTTTCTTGCACTTAAAATCTGTATCCGGAAAGAGAATGCATTTTGAAAAAGCATAAACATTTGCGATGTTTTAAGTACATTATAAAGCATGTGACGTTTTTACAAATCTCGTTGGAAATTCCTGATGAAAAGAATTATTATGATTGTATATGGATTCTAACCCCATTTACTTAAGGTACCACTGTTCTTCTCTGGTTCATATATTAACCCAGTTCAAAAATTTTCTATCGAGAGCTGAATGTGAAGATGATTTGGTGAAAATGACAGTACGTAGCTCTTTTTTTACTTCAGTAACTGCACATTTGGTCAAGAAATAAACATTTCATCCTTCGATCATTTATAACATTCCAAGGTCGATAGAGTTGAAAAAGTAGTGCACTTGATCTGTGTTCTTTGCCAGAAATATTGAATACAAAGTGTTTCTACGTAAACTTACAGCAACACCTAGCTAGCTATAGTAGTGGAATAAATGTATGATTATTAAATAATTTCACAGAGTGCAATATTCTAGTAATCTGATGAAAAGAACTCGTAAAAGTTAGTGTTTATAATATGTCTGAAGAAAAAGTGATGAAGAAAGAGACTATGGAAGAGTATGATTTGAGTGAGATTTTGGCTGACAATGGTCTGGACCAAGACTTCTGGATGAAAAGGTTCAAAGACGTTGGCATTACAAATGGAAAACAACTAAAACATGCTAGTAGAAAAGATTTTAATCAGCTAAATCACATGAAAAGGTACCGGTGGGAGGAAAATGCCTTAATATCCTGTTTTCCAGCAATATTTGAAACAACCAGAGAAGAAAGGCAGAAAGAGATGGAGAAAACTGATAATCACGTCAAGGTTTTACTAAATAAAATTGAAAAAATCACCGAAGAAGAGGACAGGGTGGCTAGGATGAAGATCAATTTAGAAACTCCTCCAGGACAGAGAGACCTGCACAAAGAACTGACGAAAACGGAGTTTTTAATAACCGAGATTGCTGTTCGCGAAAAACTGTCATCTTCAGAAATAGTAAGCAAAATATCTTCTGGTCGGATATTAGGAGGATATTATATCCATGAAAATGCCTGGAAGCGAGTTGTGCAACGGAAACAACTGATCACCATCCCTGACAATGTAGAGATTTTGGCCCCTAGAATTGCGGAGACATTTACGTATGAAGAGTTTTTCAACGAAGAGAAATCCGCATTCTATGATCACGTTGTGCATCACTGGGGATTGAGTGCAGCTGCTTCTGGCGGATTGATCGGAACCTTTACTGGAGACATTAGTTACTCCATAAAGAAAACTAATGATGAAACCAGAAGAGGTGAATCCCACAAAGGGTATACTGAAATCAAAGAAACCGTTTATGTTCCGATTGCTTCATTTTGTCTAGAGAACGTGCCTCATTTTATCTCGTGCAATGCTCTAGAAGAACTAAAAAGGCTGGAGGAGAAGCTCTCCGGAGAAAATAACTCTAATCTCTGCAGGGAGTTTTTTGAAAACTTTGGTTCCCATTATTTCGCGGGAACCTATCACTTTGGTGGATGCTACACGAGGTCTGTCGTCTGTCGAAGCGAATCTACTATGACCAAGGGAGACTCAATTAAGCTTTGTAAAGAGGCACTTCATGCAGGGGGATCCGGAATGGCCAGCTGGTGTTTTGGAGCTCGTCTTGATGCTGAGAAAAGTAATGACAAAAGTAGAGGCAAATTTCAGGAAGATGTAGACTACAAAGTAGAAAAGAAAATTGTTAAACGCGGTGGGCCAGCAGAAGTTGATTCCATTTCACAGTGGAAACTTGGACTTGTTAAGTACCCAAATACCTGGGCTGTTATTGACCAAGACGTGCATAAAGAGGAATGGAAGGGCGTGTGGGAACTTCTCAAAGACGAATATGAAACACATTTTTCAAATATTGAAAATTTACGATCAACTCTAAAAAAAGAGTGGGAAAATGAATTCAAAGAATCGATGTTCTTAAAAAATCTTCTCTTAACACTGCAACATGAGTGGGAAGAGAAGATGAAGGAATCCAAATCGTCTTTCCCCGACCCTTTCATATCCTTGCTTGAAAAGATCCCGTCTACTGCAAGTGGACAGTCACTTAAAATATTAGGTGACACAACAAAATCTCACAAATGGCGAGATGATCGATCCTGGATTGGTCCTCGGTTGAATGAAAAAGCATAAGGAAAGGCCACTATATGTGCACCAATCAGAAGCTAAACGCTAAGCATATTTACTGAAAATGTTTCCAAACAACTTTTTTATTACATAGCAGAGTGTAACCTTGTAGAATTTTGTATTAAACATTATACAAAGTTCCTCTCATAAAACATTTGCATAAGCTGAAATATAATACTGCACATGCTTCGTACATTTCTAATGTAAAATTTGTCATTTATGCGTCGACAAAGACATGGTTTTGTAATAATACCACTCGTAACAAATGTCTGGAGCTTTTTGAATGATCCATACAGACGCCTCTCAACTGTAATGTACACTTCTGTGATAAATTTTATTCGAAAAAAAAAAACAACCTTGTAACTAAATGTATACGTCTAGGTATTAGGCTTATGATCATTTCCTTTATAAGGAGTATTGTTCCACAGTTGCACGGAAACATTTTTTTCGAAAGATATGAACTCGGAACACAGCAGATACAGGGACTACTATAGTCATGGCCTCCCTTTGCTAAAATATGTTCTGTGACTTTACAAATTTGACAATACTTGGCTCACAAATATGCACATTTTCTTCTTATCCAAAATTATGATGTTTATGACAATTACAACAATTAAAACCCCAGATCTCGTTGGTGAAAGGGAAAGAAAATCAGCTGTTTAAAATGCAGTTTGGCAACATCTTATTCCCGCCATACATAGAACGAAAAGGAGAACTGAGCTGATGAGCATATAACACATTTTTTTACAGTAATTTCGAGTACTAGTATATAAAAAATTGATTAAGAACAGTGTTTGATGTTTCCGCAATTTTCATCGGGTATCAATGGGGATCTTACTACATTGTAGTTCTTTGTACATTGTAGACGTTTTTGTTTATAAACATGCTTGCGTAATACAAGATAAAAAATCAAACACGTAGAAGCATGTGTCGAAATTAATGATTTCCTTGATAAAGTCAATTTTTACAGTCGTTTACCATAATAACTTAAATCTCAGTCAGAAATGTTTTATAACGCAGAAATGCAATCATTTTTTAAAAAGGATTTCATTAAAAAGCATAATACGGACATATTAGTAGTTCGCTATTACCAATCAGTGACGGATTTAAGGGGGTGCAACAGCGCCCTCCCCCCCCCCCCCGAAATTGTCAAAGATAACGTAAATCATAGTTAGAAAATGTAAAAAATATCTACTCGATAGACCTCATTTTTACCTGACAACATTTCTGGAATCTGGGAGCTTCGTCCTCCTGCATGGGCCCCCCCACCAGGGCTTCGCCCTGGACACACTGGGGGCTGCCTAGAGACAGGCCCCTGCCTGCTTTTTGCGTCCCCTCTAACTTCAATTTCTGGATCCGCGCCTGCCAATTTTAACGCATGTGTCGAAATATATGCATTACATATTTTTTTAATTTGTTAGAAAACAAAATGAAATACTTTATATTTTTTGTTCAAAGACATCTTATGAATGCAATGTATATTTGACACCGTTTCGACAAATTGGTGGGCTAAGGAAAAATACACTTGTATTTCTTTATCGGTAAAATCTTTCAGTTGAACAAGAACATAGACTTTCCAATTCTCTAAACATTTATATTAAAATCTGTGAACTGAATAGTGTCAGCGACCATCCTGACCCAATTACCCATTACTTGCACAAATTGCAACTCAAACAAATGTATATCTGATCTCCATAGAAAAGACACCATACAGAAAACGGGGATCTCTATATACCTATAAGTTGTCTATGTAAAACTTTTGATTCTCTTTTGTGTGACAACTCCACCTCCGTCGCGGGGGCTATAATAACTTGAATGTTATTTTCACCATTCACAGCTTTCCACATGTATGGGGACAGAAATTTTCTTCCATTAAAGAGGCTGGGGGGTTGTGGCCATTTTTAGACTATATTGATCTCCTTTAGAAGAAGAGCTCCATATGAAGATGTAGAAAATGATCAAATTTTAAAACTAAAATTTTTGAAATTTTTCTTTGCCAAATGATAGTTGACAGCTTAAGATATCATATCTAAAAAATTTAGTTAAATCTGGTGGTTAACTTGTGGTTAATTTGTTGACCCCCCAGCCTCCTTAATCTTGTTAAATTCTGCTAGCTCCGCCTAGGATGGATTTGTAGTGTATATCAAACTCTTAGTACTTAAAGTCTGGTTTATCTTATCTCTGGTTCTGGATATAACCTATCCCACTTCTATTGCTTCCTAGTTATCTTCCCTCAGGACTTTAAGTGAGCGTCCTTCACAAATGCTGTTTGTCAAGTAATATTAACAAGAGACCCATGCAGGGGCCTTAATGGTCACCATTGTTATTTATTATCAAAGGTGAATTATCAAAGATAAATAACTTTCGGACTTGAGAAAAAAATTAGCTACATAATCACTGGAGCCCTGTCCTAGCCTCAGAACTCCTACATGTAACCCATTGGTTATACGAGTTTCACAACAGCAATTTAACAAAACCTGCTCATTACAACTTTATTCCTCGGTTTAGAGCTAAACGCCAAGATTCTCACAATATTAAGGCCATTCCAAGTTTTTTTCTATGTTTAACGTCTGCGTGCGCCTTGGTTTTTGACACCAAATATCAGAAAAAAAACAAACAAATCGGGATACTTGAAATTGATTTTCTGGTCAAAAACTTTTAATTCTGTCACTTTCTGTAATGATCTGTCTGCAATATGTCAAAAATTAGCCGTATATTTCAAGCATTTAATATCCTGATTTTGCTGAAGTATAGATCTTTGTATGAGAAAAATGAATTTATGAAAACAAATCCTTTGAATGACGTCATTTTTCTGACTATAAAGTCTGTGTTTTACTTTGTTGGTCTGTGTGTGTGTTTTTTTCTTTTTTGGCGAAAATAGGTTGGTAGGTTTTTAAAAGATGGGTGGACGCTAAACATAGAAAAAACTTCGAATGGCCTTATGCATTTTCACTACATGATCAGTAGAGCCACGCCCTAACACCAGAGTACCTGACCCCTGGGGCCATAAATTTCATAATTTAGGTTGAGGCACACCAGTTGCTCATCACAACTATGCATTTGTCTGCTAAATACCCAGATGTTGAGATTTTCAATGAATATATTTCCACTAAACGATCACTAGAGCCCCACTCTAACATTGGAACCACTGACCCTCGGGCGACGAATTGCAAGATTTAGTTAGAATCGCTCTTGCTTATCGTAACCATGCTCTTAGTTTGTCTGCTTAATCTACTGCTAGGGTGAGAGGACGTTTCAAAATTAATGCATTTTCACTATATAATCAATCGAGCTCAACCATAACAATAGGACACCTGACTCGGGGGCTTGATCACAGAATTGGCAGAGACACCCTTGGTCATCATAAGCATGCTAGTTTGTCTGCTAAATCTACAGGGGAGAGAAAAAGGACATTTAAATAATGTATGCATTTCACTCTATATAGATGATCTACGCCATAACACCAAAACCCCTTACACTGGGGCCATGAATTTCACATTTCTAGAAAAGACAACCTTGCTCATCATAACCATGCACTTAGATTGTCGGCGAAATAAATAGGGGGAAAGAAGATTTTTAAAGAATTAATGCTTTTTCACTATATGATCAAGACAAGAGCCACGCCCTTACGCCAGAATCCCAACCGTTGGGTCATGCATAAATTTCACAATTGTGATAGAGGGCTCAATGCACATTATAATCATCCAACAGTTTGACTACTTCATGTCCAGTAGTGAAAAGGAGTTTTGTAGATAGCATTTTTATGGTTTTTGCCCCACTCGTCAGGGAGGCGGGAACCATGAAATTCACAATTTATGTTCACCTTTGCCCATTAATGATACAAACCAAAATTAGTCGACATTGGTTCAGTCATTTCAGAGAAGCTGAAAATGTTCAATAGTTTACGACTTACGCACGATATATTTGGCAATATGCCACCTGTGTGACTTCGGTGACCTAAAAATGGTATTGAAGATCTAAGAAAATGTAAAATCTAAAAAATGAACTAAAAACGAAAAATTTTCAGAAAAGTTTATTTTAAACTCTGGGTCAGATGCACTAGGACCAAATAAGTCATGATATAGTCAAATTGTAAAATTCAAGGGTCCAAAACAGGATTTCTATTTCATACTTCTTCAGCATTTTTAATTCCCACTTCTTGTGGAGTGACTGCCGTTACTGGCTAATAGGACCAGTTTAATCTCATCCTATTATTGATAACATTTTTCATATCTTCCGCACAAAGCAATACAAAAGAAACAAACAATAAAATGAATACATAATGATTTTAATATTTCAAAATAAAACTCCTTGTACGAGTCCATTGGCATAAATAGGTCAAACTTCAATGACCAAATGTATATAAACATATTTATACAGAGATTCCTCTCTCCATGATTGTACACCGTCATCAACCAATGAAACATGATTATAAATCCGGCCAATGAAAAACTTTACTTGATTAACCTTTCGTTCCATCCATTCGCAAGATTATGAAGGGCACAGCCAATCAAATGAAAGATATGCTACACTGTCCTATGAACTGACACCATGATTTATATAATAAGTAACAAAATATAATAAAGTGGATTTAAAAAGCAATACTGAAAACTTTTGTCATGGATAGCATGAGGTCACGTGCTTTCCAGAGTCACGTGATCTCAATTTAATTAAAAAAAATTGATACGAATATTCAATAACTTAAGCCGTTTTCCCGGCAAGAACGTGTTGATCCATCAACAATTAAAACATGATTGATCAGTATAAATGGGTTACTTTTTTCGTTGGGACCTTAATACGACAATCGTTTATCACAGAAATACAAGCTCCCTGAAAATGTTCGTTGGTTGGCTGTAGTATTGATAGCAGATTGAGTCTTTGGCACGTTGCTTTGTATCATATCTATACCCCATAAGGCACTCGTGGTTTAAAGTGTAATGTATTCTTTTCAGTAAAAGTTTAGTTTATCGTGAGGATTAACACTATGTAGATTAAATACTGAAGTTGAGTATTAAGCCATAAAAACTAACAAAGAAACGTCAATATATGTAAAGTTATGAATTAGTGTTAAATCATGCCAAGGAAGTAATATTTCTGGAATACATGAAAAAAAAAAGGTTTAAAAAGTTAACCCAATTTTTCATTCTAAATACAAGTTTGTATTTTTTTTTGTTTTTTGTTGATTTTTTTGTGTCTACATGGGTGTTTAACACGTTCAGAAGATGCTGCTATTGTTACTAAAGAATTTAAAATGTGTATCCAAAATCAATTTGTAATATAGGCATTAGTTTAATCAGGCTTACTATCTCGTCCTTTTAAATCTGCTGACCCTTGACCCACCGTGAATCCTTTTTTTTGATTGGGTCCAGATTTCTTTGGACGAACTATACTCCACCAATGAGCTTTGCATGCATTGTTACTATAGTAACAGAAACACAACAGCAAAGTATATAAATGGTTATATTTAGTAACGAAACGATGCAGTGTTAAAATAAAGATTCATATCCAGTGGTTAGTATCAACTGCAAAGATGATTACTTTTTCAAACCTTTATTACTAGTGAACAGAAAAAAAAATATAGTACAATAATATGCAAAAAGACAACAAATGCAATTTAAGTAGCAGTTAGGTTAATTCGCCGTTTATATGTGTTTATACTATAGGCAAAAGACTTGGAATCTATCATACAATATAACAGTGAAGGATTATACAGAATATAGGAAGAAAACTTACCGAAGCATACACGTAGTCAATCTCACTATATGGGAGTATTTCCAATAACAGTTTTGGTGGGGAAGCTCGAGTTAGTGGGTAAATGAGGGATGAGTTGATAAGAATTTGAGATTCATCAAGTACCTTGTGAGAAAATTTCTAACAACTACAGGCGAATCATGCGGAACTATCCATATTAAACAGCAGCAGTAATGGACAATACATTGTTAATTATTGCTTTGGTGGGAAGAAGTTTTCTGTTGAGTTCACAAGAGGTAAAATAAATATTGCAGACTTTCCAAAAATATATTTAAATGATCTTTTTTCATGGAAATTTTTACCATCAAGAAGTGAAGAGTATGAAAAACAAAAAACTTCTTCGAGATTGCAACAACAGAATATTATGCTGATGCACCATGATTGGTAAACATAAAAATCTGAATAGCCAACAGTGTGTTATAAACAAACCTATATACATTACTTCATTTTCAAAACCAAGTGTTTCAGATCTTAACAAGCAGCAAAATCATCAAAATAAGTTTTAAATGATTTTTCTAAGCATATCTATTATCACTTCCTTCACATTTAACTCCAAAAAAAATAATTTGAAATTTCTTGGAGACTGAAATTTTCAAAAATAATAATAATCTGGATAGATGTACTATGCATTTCCCATGAGATTCAACCAAAATGATTAATCTACTATGATAAGAAAATTTTCTGAGAGCTTCTGAGAGCTTAAAATGACTTACACTGAGCATAAAAATGACCCATTATGACTAAAAAAAAGATTATTGAAAATACATCAAGTTTGCTTTTTGTATAGTGCAAGTACAAATTATGGATCAATCTGAAAAAGTTTTTTCAATGATTAAATTCTAAACACAGTCTACCCATAGCTTTTCGTCAAACTTTACACATGCTGCTTTTTGGTGACTTGGAGGGGGGAAATTTTAACTACTTTTGAATTCCAAAGCACAAAAAGTTAGGCCTAAATTTCACAGCAACTCAAAACAAGATGATTTTGGTAAAAAAAAAAGAAAGAAAAAAAAGAACCTGCCTCTCCAAAAGATTGATCAGTTGTTACATGACTGATTAAAGTACCTTTTCTGGCATTCTGGCATGAAAATTACTACTGTCTAATGGAAGAAAAAACAAACATGTCCAAATCACCCAGACATGACACAACCACTGTTACAAATATGGTTAATATTAGAATACAAAAGTGCCTTTCATTGCTCTCCTAAAACCACGTACAATTTAGAGGGAGTTTGAGAAAATGCTGCATAGCTACTATTATAATATAATCATCAACAATTAGTATCTACAAAAATATGTACAGTGCAAAAAGAGGTTTTCGAGTTTTGTACAAAAATTTCTTAATTTTTCTTCCCTGTGTTTTGTGAACGCATCATTTTTAAGTAAAATTGGCCGCAGTATCCGTGTTGGGGATATTTAACAAGTGATGTAGGTACAAAAATAATTCAAAATGCAAAATTATAAAGGTGATATGAACGCTGTCCATGTTTGGCAAAAAATAACAAGTGCACAAAAATATAGTAATACTTACAAAATAAGTCTGTTCTCGATGAACATGATATGTTAAACACAGGGAAAACTCGCACACACTAACAGAAAAAGTGAAAGAATTTGGTCTGAGAATTCTTACTAGTAAATAAGGCAATGGACACCAAATCACTCGCACAAAAGCTTTAAAGGCTCTTAGCAACAGAAGAGTGAGAGATCCACCAACAAAAAAAAAATAATGGATCCTTCACCCAAGACTGTGCAGAAAATTAAATCTCAGCATTTTTTAAATATGCAAAAAGGTGCTACAATTCTACCATATCAACTAACGAAACCTTGGAAATGCATCTTCAGACAAAATATATAGCATTATCAGTATCTTACCATGATAGCCTCATTGAAAAAAAAAATAATTTGATTTTAAGCTCATTTGTTCATTAAAACTTAAAACATTATGCTTACAAAACATATAATATAAACTCAGATATCAATAAAATATAATATCAATGTATGAATATTGATAAGTCTAGGGCCTTTTCTTGCAAGATATATTTCCAAGATTCTTCATCAGCACAAATTGTTAAGTACTTGTATACCTGTCATTAATGCTAGCCACACTTAATTTTGTTCTATACTGAGAGTTAAGAGTATGTATGATAGTACAAATTGTGAAAACAGATTGGGAGGTATAAATTATTCTTTACAGACAGTGTTTTATATGTATAATACAAACTGTTAATCTCATCTAAATTCTTGATGTGAAAGGCATGTAAAAAAAAAGTTAATTTTCAATAATGAAAAAAATAAATGACATAGCATATTCCTTGTTGCACACCAATGAACATTCATTAACAACAAAAAAAGATACATAAACAATGTTAGTCTACATTAGTTCTGAAGAGTATAAATTGTCAGGCACTTAGTTTTTTTCTACATGATTTTTATTATTGGCACAAGGACGGTTCTCAGTTGACCTCATTTCAACCTCAATTTCACAAAATAAGTGTTCAAAAACACTTTGATCCATTTTCAAAATTAGACCTTTAGTTTTAAAAAATAAACACAACTCACACTTTCTCAATGATCCAAATGAAGTCAAAAAAATTTTCTGCCAGAACATATATAGATATATATATAATTTTATAAATATAAGGCATGTTAGTGGTTGCAGTTTTGCTAGGAAGGCAGCCTTTGTATAAAATCCAGCAATATTTTTTTTTGTTGGATAATTCCCACACACCAAGATGTCAGCTTTGTTTTATTGTGAGTAGAACTTCATGGACGACAATGTTAGGTGCCGTGCGCTGCTGCCTTCAGTAGGCCCCTGATCCAAAGTGTTTTTTTTGTAGGTCTTTGTTCTTTTTCAAGTGTTCTGGTGGGTTTGAGTTAGTTTCGTAGGCACAGCTGAGAGTTAGGTGAAAATAAAAAAAGAAAAGAAAAAAATGTTAGTTCATACTGCTACCATATATTGCATCATTCTCATACTCAAGTATTTTAGATATATTATCATCTTGTAAACCATATGGGTGAAAAACAGCCATTACTAGTCACAGCAGATTAAAGTGTGCACATTTGGTCAAAGAACTCTTTTTCTGACATGCAATTAAAAGATTGGTTAACATTACTGAATATTATATCATGCTACTTTGCAATTAAAGTTACAAACAGGAAAAAGTTATAAAAACATTTTTAGTTGCCTTTATAATTTTAAATGTTTATTTTTTAGATCTAAAGCAGTAAGAACACAGAGTTAAGCAAATTGCAATACTTTTAGAATATAACAAAGATGAAGTGAGATTCACATGATTGAACTTCAAGGAGAGAAAATGTCTTTATTTTCTTCCAGGAAAGCCCAAAGAAAGAGGCTTTAGAACTCTTTTTGCTTTGGAGGTCCATTTAGTGTTACAATTATGGCTGGTTACTGCACGACTTAGATCTGCTTGGTTAGTAACTGGCTGTATTAGTCTGTATGATACATATGATACAAAGCCTAATAAACAGTAATTAATAATAACGAGAGTTGAAGAGGCTACAAAGTGCGATCTACTGATAATCCAAGAGTACATGATAATGAGAGATGCCACGAGTGCGTTTAAGCCGTCACTGTACCATTATTGAGAGCCCAGGTCACATTGTATTATCTATTATTGGGGGGAGGACCATGTTAGAGGGTGGGGGATTACACTACCCCTGCAAATTCTGCTCCATTGCTCACGGACATCATCTACTCACACCAAAGAAACACAATTGTTCTTATGCTGCGTTTTTACATTTTTACACCACACAAATTTTAACTACCAAGTGTCTTTTGCTATCCCTGAAGCCCAAGCAAAGAAAAGATTAAAGTTGGCTATAGCAACATTTGTTCCAGAAAAATCTTAAGCAGTCATGAAAATTTTTTTTTTATTTTTCACTTTTTGTCACTTGCAATCCTCAATACATTGTAGTGAGCATTTTTCAATGCATTGTCAATGACCTCTGAATTGTAAACTGGTGTAGAAGAACTCGGAACAAAAACTTCTGAAAGGTTCATTTTATTTTCGAACATTATAAATAAAACAATAATTGACACTATGAAATAAATAATCTTTTGACATTCTAACCGATCAATAATAAATATCATTGCGGACTGTCCTTTTCGTTCAATGTTTATATAGAAACCTTCTTTTTCAGCATCAATTGCAACGTTTTGGCATTTCTTACAAATAAATATTTATCAAGCACAAAAAAAAAAAAAATCATAATCTAGCACTAACGATATTGGGCTTTATAAACCCAAACTAAGACATAACAAATAAGCAGGAGGCAAAAGTCAACAAAAAAATGTTTTCTATGAATTGCAGCACTTTACAAAACCCTCCAAAACTTGCCTGAGATAGTACGCTGGAGATATACAAATAAATTATGGAATGATTGTTCATCGCAATACAATATTATGCTTTGTATTTCGGCTTTGGCATCACATTTTCATACGAAATATGGGACTATCATAAATAAGATTGGGCATCTCTCTATCCCTGCACTTATACATAACTACATAAAAAAAAAAATCCCGATTCATTTCAAATGAACAAATATAGTTGTTTTTCTACACCTGTAATAAAAGTATTATGGACAAAATATTTCATGACATATCATCGCATTTAAAAATTGCATCACACAATATCTATTCAAACCCTACAATAAAATGACCTACAAGAAAAAATGGATCATAAATGATATAAATGATACCCCACAAACATTTGGGATGGTCTGGACTCTTATTTGAATGAAAGATCACTCTACATAAAAATTGTTAATCAATGTCGAACTTATATATCTCTATAAACCCGATATGTCTAATTCTTTGGATATGTTGAAATAAATTGGCTGTTCCTATCCCAATGTCTAAAATCTCATCCTCAGCTCTCAAGATGTTTTTGAGATTTTTGTCCGACTTGTAAGTTAGAGCTACTGAGGGTTGACTGCACACGAAATCTTCCTATGATATTCCCAAGTCTTGACTATTACCAGGAAAATGCTCTCTTATTATAATTGTTAGCAACAAGGGGTTATTTTTTTCAGACAGTTGGTTATTTACTCCCAAAACACCACCATGGCATCAAAAGTGAGAAATAAAAATCTTTAAAAGAATAAGTTTTTTTGGAGGGTTAGTTCATCCAATGAAGTTTAAATAGCACTAAAAGGAACATATTAGGTTACAATTAACAAGACCAACATTTATACACTGATCAAAAATGCTCTTTTATTGCACAACTTGTATGTGAACACTTTTCAAATATATAAATAAAAAAAAAATTGTTGAGGTCTTTGACATTTGCATTTCCCTGGTCATAGCCAATCTTGTACAATTTTATCTCAAAATATCTCGAAACAATGATATGTTTAATGGCGAGCTTTTTATATCACACTTCCACTTATTAAAGGTTAAATGAGTTAATTAATTAATCAAGACAAGCTCAAAATTGGCAAATTTTAGTAAATTATTTGTGCTATACAATTAATTTTAGTTGAGATAGATTTTTATCTCAAGGACCACAATGATTGAGAAACATTTATTAGATCTCTCATTCAAATTAGGACGTTCCCAGACCTTACTTAAATAATCAAGGGTCAAATCAAACAAAGGAAAAGCCCTGATACAGCCTCGAGGTTTCTCAAAATACGTACATTTACAAACCATTCAAGTTAGAACTGAAAAACAAGTGGATAAAGTGTTATCAAACGAAAATTTTAATTATAATCGAGAATTCTTCTCGATAAGCGTAAATTTGTAACCGGGAGACTGTATCACAAGAAGGAGAAAATAGAAGAGAGACGGGACTAACCTTCCTACTAAATTATGGAAGGGCTACCCTAGTATAGGGGTGTGTCCTTACGCTGTCCAGGGTTCTGCGGATCTTAGGCACAGCACCTGCAATAGCTAGATACATTAAAACCTATACCAACATAGGCATCGCTTCCAAGGGGAAGCAACCCCAGACAAATCAGCCTGAAGGACAATACTAGGTATAGTCATCATCAAATAGGTTCTTTTCACTTAAACTTATCATTCATAAACTGCATTCCAAAATTTTTGCTTACAATCTTTTCTCTATCATATTAAAACTTCTTGTAAGTGTATGTAACACACCTTTTCTCCTCAATTTCCTATAGAAGGATCTATTATAGATGTGTAACCTTTCATAATGTTTTTTTCTATCAATCAATATTTAAGCCATTAATCACATTTTTTAAAGAACTCTAAATATGCGCCCAACCATGACTATCCCCACCCTCCATTCCCCCATTTTTTTTTCCATTCCTAGGACACTTGTCCAAATCCATATGAAAAGATATAGTCAGAATATAATGTACATGTGTATGTTTCTACTCATGTTATTGATTGCGTCCTGATTGTGCAAAATATTGCTTCTAAAAATACAACAAAAATTTGATTTCTTGTATAAAACGAAAACAAAAAACTAGTAAATATATATACCAAAAATACCAAAATGCTTGAAAGACATCTGGTCTTATACGTAAAGCTTTGAAAGCACCTTTTTTGAAAAGGGCTATCTAATTAATTTAATGTGTTAATTCCAGAAACAGTTAATTACTTGTGGGGGTTACTAAATGTTAATTAAAATGTAGTAATTAAAAAATCAATTGCTTAACAAAAAATATTACATATTACATGCCAAAAAAAACTTAATAATGTCTTATTCATTTGCAAATGAATAAGCACGAAAAAAAAGAAAACCTATTAAGAGATTATGATTTTTTTAAAAGTGTGAAATCAGTACATCAATGGAAAATCAACCCTTAGAGACGTGAAGAGGAATAAAATTAACACAAGCTTCCAAAATCAAAATTAATACAACATGAAAGAAGACGGAAAATAAATTTGTCAATAAGCAATCACTACGAAAAAAAGTCTCATTCATTCACTCCAAAATAAAAACTCAAATAATAATGAATTATCCTACATACAGTTCAACAGCTGACGCAGGTAAATACAGGGCATTTCTCAGTTTGCGTTGTTTTTTAAATTTCATTTATTTAATATCTTGAAGCCACCACCAAATCAAGTAGAAAAATCATCGATTAAATCATCTATTAAATCATTAATAATCTAGTTCTGTTTGGTTAACGAGTGAGCAGTGTTTTGATCACATACAAACAGTGTGTGTCTTAGATTTTTACTTCTCCACTATATGCACTGAAGGTCGTCGACTTTCCTAATTATTTACCTGTTAACAATCAAAATTAGAATACTTTGTTTTAACTTTCCTATTTTCAATATCAGTTTTAAATATTTCTCAATTTCCTTTACGAGTCTAAATTTTTTAAATTGAAAATTCCATCTGAAAACATTACTTTGCCCTCCCATATTAGTGATTTTGAATATTTCTATAAAATAATGGAAATATTAAATTCCTACAGGTTATAATTTTTTTCTTTCCTAAGAGTTACGCCCCTTTGCTCATTAAGTCTATCAAAAATGTGTTATTATATAATGAGCTAAAACCTAACAGGTATTCATCATCACCTACCCTATGAATCCATTAACACAGGCTAGCATGAAATAAAACAACATCTTATTTACAAACTATCATACTCTAAACAAGTGGCTATATATAGAAGTACATAATAATATTATGTGCATCCGTGTCCATTTCACAGTTCACAATTTGTCATTGGAAACAATGGAATGTTCAATGAAAAGTAAATCATGAGGGAAGAAATAAAAAAATTATAATTACATAAATCTTAAATCATTTTTCGACTAAAATAAGTATATGTATATATATAACGAAAAAATAGATAAAAACAAGGAGATATTAAAAGTCAACAAGTTCTGTACAAAAAAAAAAATTATCATAAGAGACTCTTATTTTTCTCTCTTTTAAATATTTGGGCACAAATATGTCTTTGATTGTATGTACTTGCACAAAAATAGCTCTAATGTTTAATAAAAATTCTATTATGATGCAAAAAAAAAAAGTTTGATTCATTTCTCTTGTATCCTACACGATGTTTTATCGCACAGCAGAGAAATTCAACATACCGGCTGCCGTCTGCTCAAAAGAGGTGGGGTACTCAACAATGGCTGCCGTTGGCTGTAGGGAGTAGGGGTATTCGTAAGGATTGTACACCAGCCCTGTTCCCGCCGTATCTGTAGGGGACACCAAGGGGGGTGGGTTCATCATGGATGCTGAGCTAGTGGCGACCTGAGGCATTCTTGGAGCCAGAATGAGGGGGGCACCTGCTGGGGTGGGAGAACGAAGATGAGTGGCTGCGGTGATCCCCGCTGTCAGGGGTGAAGCTGCTGTCAGAAAGCGTGGGGCCTCTGCAAGAGCAAGATCTACTCGAAATAAATTATGTTATCCAGCTATCCATGTAGTCTCTTTTTTTAACCTAGCTAGTAAAATTAGAGGTTTCTTTACTATAGAAAGCAATTTATATGTGAGTTAGATCCTTATAAAACAATTTTATCTTTTATTTTCTTGAAAGGCACTAAAATCACTTTAAAATGCATATATTTTTCTTGCATAAATATACATTTTTACAAGTGAAATCAACTAAATTTATGAAAAATAAAAAATTATTATAACAATTTACTACTACTTGTTAGTTATGTTATCCAATAAAATTACAATGAGTATGTTAAAGTTTTCTAAAGACCTGGAGCAGACAGAATTATCGATTCCGTTAAATACCCAATCTATATATTGTGGGTTAAGAGCCCTGTAAATATTGAGAAAAAATGCAGTATGTACTTGCTATACACAAATATGCTGAATGTCACCATATGAGCATACTGTATATATAATTATATTTTCCTTCCATTTTTTATAATATTGGTATTTTCTTTATTTTTTTCAATGCATCTAACATTACTTTGCTGTTAGCTTTTTCACATGAAGTTGTGCTGCTCAAGTCAAGGGAAAATAATCAAGTTATTAACAGCATAAATTAGAAATTAATATCAAATTGTCTTTTTTTTTTTGATGAGCAACCTGATTTATTTCCCCAGGACACTAAGCCGCAAACAACCAAATATATTCCACTCCATTAAACATCCTTTAAATAAAGGCAGTAGTTGGATAATTCCTTTATGCAATCATAGTCATTTAATAGCTTTAGAATTTTTTCCAGATTAGAGGAGATTTCCCTTTTGAAGATTTTTTTTCTTTTTTCAAAATCTGGTCCACTATATTTTTTTTCTAAATCAATTTTTTTTCAATAATAATTCATTCTCCAAGGGATGCAAAAGGAGTGTTTGTCTATTGTAAGGTACTGTACAGGTATACGATAATACCTGAAGAAGTCTTGAGTATGCTCTTATGGTCGATTCCACTGGCATCGAATTGACCCAACATTTGCATGGTTTGAAGTTGTGCATTCCAGGGTAGTCCAAAGGCATCTTGAAAAAGGTGCAAAAAAACACAAGAGTCATTAAACCAGCTAGCACACAACCCCATCATCATCAACTGCTGGTTCCCCTACTGCTGAACTGGTTCCCAGTTTTACCGATAGATGACTAATCCAAAGATCTTCACTTAGACCAAAACAAGTGTAATAAATTTAAGGAAATCATTTTGCAATTTAAAACAGTTTTGAAATTTAAAATGAAAAAAAATCTGGGTTTCTGATTGTATGATAAAATTTATGATACCCCCCTTTTTTTATTAATTCATTTTAATTCAGTAATTCTTCTAGTCATACATGTATTAGTGAATACTCAAGGGGAACCAGGGCACAGCAGTATAGGACCCTACACAGCTTCATCAGAAAGCTCAATTCTAGTTAAAAAGTGAAACAATTTGCAACATTCAAATGCAACCTCAAAACTTTTCCCATCATCATTGCAAATTCTTTCTTTGGGAATACTCAAAGCAATTTAACTCACTTTCAAAAAAAAAAAAAAAAAAGAAGAAATGTAAACATTTTAATGGAAGGAGGCAAAAATCCAGAATCAATTCAAATGTTAGCACCAATAAAAACACATCTAGAGTGGGACTTTTTCAAAGACGTTTCAGAAAAATAGTCATGCTTGTTTATATACAACAAGGTCAAACTGATTAACTACACCTGGCATAGCATGCAGCTTATATTACCCTAAATGTCATATTGTTAACATAAATATGTATTATCAAAGATATAAATAGAAGTCAGTGACTGGTCTATGGTAGAAAAGGAGGGAACAAGAATATATATATGTCAATATCTTTAATTGTAGATACTGTGATTTTATTAATTTTTATAAGGTATGATTTTTATATTAAAAAATAATACAATTTCATTGATTTGTAAATTCTGTATAGCAACCTAATTGTCATATTCTATCATTAGAAAAAATGTAGTTCACTGTTCACTTTGGTTCATTATTTTGCCCAATGACAAATAGGCTACATCAATTGGTGTTCAACAAAAAATAATAAAACCACAGTAACGTATCCAAATCCCCAACAAACAAGCCAATGCAAATTTTACTATTAACATTCCATCATAGGAGATATGGAAATATTCACTAATTCATTAAAATTTTGTTGTTTTTTTTTTTTTTAAATTCAACCTTCCCTCATCTTCTATTGGACCTAAGCCTCTCTAAATGTATAAACAAATGTGTAGAATTTCCCAGCTGTGATCGTGAAGGAGACTATATATATAAAAAATATTGGAGAGCTAAAAAAAAAAGTAAAGTCATAAAACAGGTTACAACAAGCAAAATCATGTGTCTGAAATATTTTAAATGAACACTGGAACTATCTGAATAATTAAAAGCCACTGAAAAAAGAAATAACTTAGGCTTCAAGGAAGGGACTTTTCTTTTCTCTAGAGTTAGCTTGTATGAAAGCTTTATTAACCCAAATTTTTATGAATATTTCAAGATAAAATCAAAATGAGGATCCAAAAAATTTTTATGCAGTAATGTGATGCCTATTTTGTAGTAAGAGTTATTTCCCTTACACTGCTTGTATCACACAATATTGACAAGTTTAATTTAGGTAGCAGGTACCTTGTTTTCCCATTAAATACTCATATATATATAAATATACACCAGTACCTACACCAACATGCACAGATAATTACACTATCTCCCCTCTCTGAAGCCTTCAGCTTATGGTGATACTAAGATGAGAATTTTTCATGTCACAAAAACTTCTCAATTAACTTGCATGAAGATAAAATTTGGCAGCTTTCTTTTCTCTGTAAACAAAGAAAGTCTGCGGTTTCTGACACATAGTTCAGACAAATGGCTACTAAATACAATGTTCTGCTTAAAAAAAAATCCTCTTCTTAATTTCATGAATTTGCAACCTTATCAAATTCTCATCTCGGCATCATCATATACAAAGAAAAAAAGATTTTACAGGGTGATAAAATAAAGAAGCATCTATCATGCATTGACTACTATAAGTACAGTGTGACCCATTCCATCAGGTGTGGTGGCCCTCTCCAAGGGACTGAGGAAAACTCCTTAAGCCAAAGAAAAAAACACCAATGCAAAATAAAGAATAAACACAGACAGCCAAGGGATAAAAAGGTAAAAACATAAAGCTATAAACACTGCACACAGAACTGGCATGGGTTGCGAGTGGGCGCCGCCGGGAGGCGGGACTTACGAGAAGAGGCAGATTGACCGCCTGGGCCGGCCTGGGAAGTGGCCGGTTTAGATGTGTCCCTATATGTTCCGTTGATGATAGCCAGTTCCATCAGCTGACGTTTCTTAAGATCATCCTCGCCATCGGGCTGTAAAAAAGAGTCGCAAACACGTCAACATTCACACGTTAGTAGTTACACTTTTGTTATGTTAGCCTGTCTGAGACAGGGCTGAAACTTACGAGCTAGAGGGATCGCTTTGGAATCGCGATACGTCCCATTCAAGATGGCCAGTTCCATCAATTGCATTTTCTTCAAATCATCCTCTCCTTCCGGCTGAAAAAAGGCAACCAAATTCTCTATCTCTTACACTTATTGGGGAATCTTTTTTTTTAAAGGTTAGGCTGTTAGACCTGATCTGTGTATTAGTTAAATAAATGTAAATTTTTTGTGGTTATTAGACAGTGTGACAAAAGTGAAGCTTTATTATTCATTCTCATTTTTGTTGTTTTTATTTTTTAAAAAAATTCAGACATCAACAATATTTTATTTATAGTTAAATAAAGGATAAACATAGGGACACAAGTCAATTAGTATGTTGTTACTTTTGCTTACTGCTGTTAAAGAAGAAAAAGAAATATGGTAAAATGTTTTAATAAAAATCACATTCTATTACTTGCTGCATAACCCCCTTGAAAATATTAAGCTTCAAGCAACAATTTTGCAATAGAAAAAGATCTTTGCATATACCCAGATGACCCATTTTAATTGTATTTTGAATAGTTATGTTTATCTCTATAATTCTGACCTATCTATATAAGCCCAAGCTATGACAATGCTCCCTAGTCCTTTGATCAGCTGGTACCAACAAAATGATACAATCAAAAATATAGCTGGCAACAATCCCTTTATTTCCTTCATTGTATTTACAGATTAAATAAATGCATCAACAGTCCTAATGTGACAGGTAATGCGTTTTAAAAGGACAATGAACACTGCATAAAAAGGTCCCTAATTCGACTAAACCTTTCGGCTAACTCCGCAAACTAAAGAAAAATATGGTGGAAAATGATAAAAATCTAGTGTCGCCTTGGTACCAAACAAGCCTTAAATATGGTTTGGGGCTACAAACTGAATGACAATCTCATATGATAATTATAGGCTTAAAGAAACAGAACAAGTGTGTGTTTTGATTTTTGAATATTTATTAACGGATGCCTTGTCCATACACGTTCCCTGACAGACTATGAAAACAAACGATGCAAATCAAATGCTGCCTTCATGCAATAAATACAAAAATAAATGCTGGAATTTATAAATGTGTAATGGTCATTAACACACCCTAACTTAATTGCTCCTTCTATAATTACCATGCATGAACTCGGTACACCCTGTATCTGATCTAAACTGCATAATCAATATAAAGAGAGCAAAGGGACAAGTATATGGAAGGAATCATCACTGCTTATCTTAAGGCAAATAATTCATCAAACATCTATATGAAGCCTTTAGCTAATCAAAACTTGATAGAAAAAACTTCTTAATCTTTGGTTAAATTGATGACTTATTTTTCTGTACGGAGTACAGTGCATACTTTTGGGCCCTGTCAATCACTCGGGCTGTCACGATAGGTCATCTCTCTGTCATTTCTCCCATGAATTCCTCGGGAGGGCCTTTGATTGATTTTTACGAGAAGATTTGTCACCTTGTTGTGAAGACTTGACAGATGCAGTGCAAGGACAGGACTCATCAGAAAAAAAAGGTCTCAAGACCCAAATGTCAGATCTTAGAACACTTTCAAAGGAGACCTAGTTTTTTAGAGTGGTCATATTTTGCCGCTGGGCTCTCACTGAAAGTTATGCACGGTAAACTGGAAAATGTAGAATGGTCAACATTTTCTTTTTTATTCCAGGCATGTCGATGCATGTTTACTGTTGAATCCATCAGTATTCAACCCCCTTTTTTCAATTTAAATAAAAAAAATTATTTTTATGAGCAATATTTGACTTGTGTTGTTTGTAAAGTCATTGGGAAAAATCAATTCATGAGAGCCACGCAGTGTTTACTTGTTTCTGGACAAACCAAATAATTCTATTTGAGTTTCTAATATTTGCCCAGAAAATTTTAATTTGTACAGTCTGGCAAAAGAAAACGAAATCTTGACATCATCACAAACCATGCATACCCAATGCACAGCAGTACCATTTCTGATGACCACTACAGATATTCCACTAAAGAATGGTAATTGTTTCCAAATAAAGTGTCCTGCTTTATTTTCTCTGAGGCTCACCTAACAAGCTGATTTTTCCACTGAAGTCAACAATTGCAATCGATTTCTTATGTCAACAAAGAAATAGTTACAAAAATCTCTTATGTCAACGGACAGTCTAACAAGGCAGCAGTTTTTCCTCCTGCAATGAAGCAGGGACCCTATCCACACAATGAAATCCATTCCCACCATTGTCCAGTACAAAAACACTAGACCAAACATTTTCCCCTGGTATTTGTACTGGTGGGCTTCACCAGTGACAACCTATTGTCTCCGAACAGAAAAAGAAAAACCTGTAACCCTACAAAAACATTTTTACTGCGGATGACATGTTTGGTCTTCATTGTTGGGACAATTTCTCTACGGGCCAGAGAACAAATTGAAACCCTGACTGTTCAGTCTAGCAAGCCACCTCCTGCTACGTTCATGTTTTCCTACACCTAAGTTGTGTTAATAATGGAGACCAACGATGGTCTCTAAAACGTTTCAACATCTCAGGGACGCACTCTAATGAGACCGTGCAAACTTTGGTTTGAATAATTATGAAATGTATATCATGACAGAAAATTTATCTTTTCTTGAGAAATAACAACACTATTTAGTGTTCTGCCATTCAGACTGGAAACTTGAGTCTAAAACTCGTGAAAGGTGTTTAAAGACCTTTAAACCGATTACCTCATCTCTTTACTCTCGACAATTTGGAGGGCTTATATTCTCCTTGTGAGTCTTTACAATGACAGAAATCTTGAATCAAGGTTATGCCATTCAACGGTACAACTTAATTCCTTTCGTATAATAAAACAGTTACCAAAAATGGCTTAGAATTTCCAAATGTTTCTTAATCACAAGGAAAATCAGGCAAATTTGTGAAAACATCTATATATCTTCCTAATGTTTTTTAATGAAAATTTGAAAAGGAAGGAAATTTTACACAAGATTTCTATAGAAGTTTTCCTTTTGGATGTTAACTCTAATTGCAGGCTCTGTCCATTTATGATAACAATATAATGAATGCTGATAACAGATTAATAAGGAAAAGTTTCAGTTTTTCACTTCCTGAATCTAAGACTCGGTGCTCGAACATGAGTTTCCCTTTAGTGGGTTTCCGACCTCAATTAGAGAGATAGAGGAAATATTTCATTACAAAGCAGGAATTATAACCAGTGAATTTCCTTATCATCCTATACACTGACTGTCTCTACCACTTAGATTTTAATCTCTCCCACCCTGCTCTTCTAATGAGGTCCATTTTTGAATTCTACACATTTTATTAAGCATATATTTTGACTGAATTGATAATATTGCTGCAAATTCGTAATAAATATTGCTTCAATACCCAAGGGCAAAATCTTTCAGAAGTATTTTATAAATCAAATTTTTACACTCCATACACAGTATGTGTCACAAGAAAGAATTTTAAGCATTAATCTCCCTAAAAACATTCCTTAAAAATTAGACTACTCTGCTTTTCAAACTGGTTAGTTTTATAATTCCTGCCCAAGGCCAAGCTAAGAAGTTCTTAAATCCATTTGGACGACCTAAACTAGCACAAGGTCCAGAACCCCTCACAGAGGCATACAATTTTTTTCATTATCTGTCAATAATCTTTCATTGAATGCCGAGACCCAGTCCTAACTTAGCTGCAAGGTTTGCATGTTAAGACCCCATTAGCTGTTGTATGACAGAGCCATAGGACAAATCTCTCTGCTGTATATAGGGCTTCTCTAATATACACCAAATGCTGGTTTTAAATATGCGTGTAAAAACTATTCATCGTAATCTGTGGGCTTATATTGGTGACCATTACACGATTACGTAGCCCTCTACTTTCTTTTTACTATATAATAGCTATAGTGTAGCAGTTTTATGAATTTAATGCAATTTTTATTTACACAATATATCCCTATAGTGGTTATAATGTGAGTGATATGTCGTCTTGTTATGCCATAGTAATGGCCAAGTAAAGATGAAAGAACAGCAAAAGCTAGCTAGAGAAAAATTTGGCCAATCAGCATTAAATAAATAAATACACAAACATTATTTTCCACATATCAAAACACATTTAGGTTATTTATTTCATTTGTAAATCTTTTACACAAAATGTATTGATCATGTTTATAGCCACTTAAAACTGTTTTCAATTAACTTTACCCATTTCAGATTCTTTGCTCTATGATTGCTTAATCACAAAAATAAGTGCCTTAGTGGTGCATATGAATACTTACAGCTGGTACTAGAAGCTTCTTGACCTCCTCCATAGCCTTGGCCATTTTGACCTCTGCCCTGTTGAGAGTGTCCTCTACAGTTATCAACACATGGAGCTCTTCATTCAGGTGCTCCCAGTTAGGTTTTCCTCTGTTCTGTTCTTCCTATAATACATGATTAGAAATTTAGTCTCTGTTTCCTAATACCAACAGCTAAGATTTAACTACAAATTTACACTGTGCAACAAGTTGAACACATTTTTTATGTACATGTAACATTGTAAAAGATTCAGAGAGATCCAGAAAGATCAGAACCTTTAAGATTAGAAAAATCTGTTTCTGGAACCAAACTTATGCATGTTAATGAAATATCTCTGAAACTGCCTTTGATAATTTCTGAAAGAACAAAACATATGGGTCCAAAAGCACACATGTTGAGAGTCAGGATGTATGGTGAAAATACGTGCTGCATTTTTTTTTAGGTGGGACTTGAACTTTCATATCATCCTTTACTTGGATGAACAAAATCTTAAATTCTGACAAATATCTGATAAATAATTGTCAATACGGATCTTTTCACTCCGGACCTAGATATGAACTGAGCTGTTTGATCAGTGAATATTGATGGACACATTCAGTGCCAGGCTACAGAAGCTAGGGATCTCCAAACACACTTTTGAACATGCCTTCATACAATTTCTCTCATTAATCAATTGTCTGCATCTGTTATACTAGAAAACTTTCTCAAAAAATCTGACAAACTTTTCTCCCTAATATATTTGGATAAAGCCTAAAAATAAACTACTGTATATAATTAGACATGTCAGATTTTTGGGAATCCAAAAAATATTCAAAGTATTTACTCTTGTTTGATTTCTGATAGATTTTCTGTATCACAGAAGTGCAAGACCAGATTGCAACTGATAAGTTTTCATATTACTGTACATGTATTATGTAGGGCTTGCAATTCACACAATTTAGAAATCACTGGTACCTTTATGAGAAAATGAATGTGCTGACAGTATATTTATTGCCACACTGAGAGTATGTATAGTTTCAAGAACAGCATACTAGTTAAATATATATGAAATCAAAATATGTAAGAACATATTTACCACTGTCAAAAAATCTTACAAGCAAAATTTTATCATCAAATTTTCAGATGGGAAAAATTGTTCTACTCTCCACAATATCATAAAAAGTGATAATCAGGTCAAGGGCAAAATCCACCAAATTTTTCTTTGAAAAAACACAATCAACTTATAGCTGAGTAATATCCATCAACAATACATGTATTTCAATTCAATGGACCTAGATACACATATAACAAAACATTCAATGTATATAGTGTAGTCTACAGATAGGATATATTTCATGACCTATATATTTGGTCTGCTTAGAAAATGTAAAGTTCACCCTAAAATATTGGTTCAATGGGGATATCATATCAGAGTGTTTAATCATAAGCAACTAGATAATAAGGAATAAAACTCTCTTTAAAAGTGCATCAAAGGCAAAACTGCCAGTAAACAGAGCAGCACGAGAGAAATTCTTTCATGAACTAAGTTTTTATCTTCTTCCCTCTGTGGTTATCAAATAGATATAAAAACTGATCATTGCTGTGTCTGGGTAGGATCTGTCAATTCAATCTATAAATTCTACCATAACTCCTCAACAGCCAACTAGATCTGACAACCATCAGCAGCTAAATCAGGCTACAAAATCAAACTCTATATTTATAATATCCAACCTAACCCCCTCAACTGGTCAGTGTGTACTTGGTGTAAAGAAGAAATACCTGAATAACCATTTCAGATTATGTATTTCCAAAGAATAGACGATTCCAGAAATCACTGAAATACCTTTATGTTGTAAGATCATGCATGTTTCAGGGAACAGACTTGCATTTCAGTTTCCACACATACTGAAGGACTTAATGCACAAAAACACCTTTAAACTTAAGAATTCTTTATAAAAATACTCCTACATAAGAAGTGATGTCAAAAAATTTAATATTTCTGAATATGAGTGACAGAATCTTCTTTCCGTGATATGCATGAATTGAAGGAAGACTGAACATCTGCAGGATTTAGGAGAGACATGTCAAAATGTGTAAATAATCGCTCTTAAGGGAGTTATAAAGGTATCATGTGCATCTGCATTTGATAAAAATTTTCTTAAAGAATTTTGTAATCAAATATTCGAGTCATGCTGGAATTTCATATCAAATCATGACTCATTTTTCTGCAGTATCATTCTCTAAAACAAGTGAAAAGAAAAGAAAACGCAACAGCTGTTACTAAGCTCTAAAAATACTATATTTACATAATTCTGTCCATCAGACACTTTGAGAAATTAACCATGCAAGATTGAAACAACTCCTTTCATCATCTAACTGTGACATTCTTTTTAGCTTAAATGTTCCTTAACATTAAAAAAAAAAAAACAAAAAAAAAAAAAACAGTGAGAGTGCCAATCAGTTTTCCATGACATTAAAAACAGGAGCTCTTTTAAAAAAAGAAATATATAAGCATTTAAGCATTTGAATTTTCATCTACTGTCCTTGTGTATTTTTTGTTGTTGTTGTTGGGGGGGGGGGGGGGCACAACTACAGTCATTGAAAAAGAGTGTCAGTCTGTGACCAAGAAATAGTTTCTTTTTTTTTTTTTAAACATAGTCCGCAAGGTAGAGTTACTGTTCCTAAGAAAGAGGTATTGAGTCTGATATGAGTTATGCCCCTTACAATCCTTACAAAAGAATTACAGCCCTTTACATCAATTGAGCTACAGTCCATGTTATAAAGATGCTAGATCCTTAAACAATGATTGACATGATCGACATAGTTACACTCACTGAGATGAAGAATTACAAGTTCTTATACATACAGAGTTACAGCCCCTGACATACTGATGGGACTTTCTTACCTTCTTTTTGTCTCGCATTGAGCCTTTTCCTCGAACCATTATTTTACAACCTGTGTACTGTTCTAGTTCTTTTGCTGTCATTCCTCGAGGTCCCAATATCCTCCCCACAAAGTTAAACTGAAAACATATATAAACAAATATAATGTTTGATAATAAAAACATCAAAATATGCATTTCTGATACCATTTTTGCTTAATGCTAAAGTCAACAATAGTAATGTATTTTTTTTCTCATACAGTTCATTTTCTATCAGTCTGACATAGTGGGTATATGTATGTGGTATGTCAAAATATAGAATATGCAGCCCTGAAATGTGTTTGCATCAAAGAGTATTTTTTTCTTCTTGTGTGAGTGCCTAACAGCAATTCATAGATCAATTATGAAGTTCTTAAGCACTAATAAACATAATATGGCATCCATTAATTGATCCCCTGGGTTTTCACACAAATTCAAGAGGTCAGTACGGACAAGGCATCTAACAGCCCATACCTGCCAAATGATGCAAAAAATTAAGTGTACTGTCACCAATAAGTGTGTTTTTTCATCCCTTTTTTCCAAGAGTAATTAATTAAGCCTGAGTCTGACCAGATTTTCTGCTCCATTACACTCTATAGATAATGTAGCTAAAGCTGCATGCCCACATGTATTTCATCTGAGTCTCTCTGGTGGCCTTTAACATTAGTTCCCTGAATTTAATTAGCTAGTCCCCAGGTGGTGATTTCCCCTTGCTTGTATCATTAGCCAATTAGGAGGCTATTCACTGATAAGTGTGGAAAACCCTTCTTATCTCCTCTGCTGTATACACTAGATTTGAACTTTTTTTTGGCTTTCAGGATATATTTTTTTTTTCATTTCAGTCTGTTAAAACTGGAAGAGCAGTAACCAACCAAATTTCCTGGGAAAGTGTTTTATTTCAATAAAGAAATTCACTTTTAATTCTACATGAATACAGATGTCATTAATATTTCAACAGATAGGCCATAAAGAAGTTGCCTGTTTACAACAGTCGAGCAATGTAGCTTTCCTTGTACCCCCTACCAAACTGTTGCCCATGCACATTTGTGAATTTCAAATGCAAAAAAAACACATGATAAAACATGTCTCAACAATCTACAGCCCACCAGAATGACTCCCTTCCCCCTGCCTGGTACAAAGACATCTGTGTGCTCACTGTTTATCTCCGCTGGCCTGACCAGTGGGTGAAATTTCATCACCTCTCTTTATCAGTTCTCAGATAAATCTTTGTTTACATAGAGTCTGCACTTCTAAGACAATTAGCTGCTTTTGACTCCCAACAGACAGATAACTAGCAGCGCCCCCTACAGATAAAGGAACAGTGTACATCTCTCTAAACATCCCTGTCATTTCTCTTACTTGTAAGTACACTGCTGCTACAAATTCAAAGTACAAGTTTATTCCATTTACCACCCTCTCTCTCCCCTGGATCCATGTGAAGATGCTGATTAAAGATCAACATTTTTAGAAATTACTAAAATGCTAAGAAACTTCTTTCTGTAAATGTTACTACTTTTTTAATCTTGGTTTAAAGATCTCCTGGAAAGTATTCCATTAATTACTTTATCAACCCCTTATTCCAAAATTTTCTTTAATAGGTTAGACAAGACATTAAGTCTGCAGACTAGCTGTGTCTTTTTCTCCATGTCAGATAAATATAATGTGTACAGATTCACTCAAAACCTGACTTTGCAAAAGAGAATTTAAAAAATAATTTGCATCAAATTGAAATTTAAACTAAATTCCAAGCTACAGAAAAAGCATTCCTTTTTCTAGACCAATCTATTAATGACAATTGAAAAGAAAAATAAATGCCCCAATGAATCATAATATTCCTGGTTCAAGAGAAAAAGAAGCGACATTTGCAAATTGAGACACCAGGAAAGCTAAAAATGCACACTCAGCTACACACAAAAATCAAACTGTCTCTCCTTTCTATGCACACCCACTCGTGCAATAAAAGCTCAATAAAGAAGTTGTCACGCAATGACATAACATGTGACCTGGCAGACTCGCAACTAGGAGGGGGGATATCTACACCACATAAACATCAAGTTCCCCTAACGAAGGGCGATGACATCAACTAGAAACCAGGAATACTAAAATTACACGGAAATTCTCCTCATTACATGATATTCTGAGGAGTAATGTCTGCTAAGGAATTAACCTGTACTTATATACAAGTACGCTACTCTCAAAAAAGACTATCTCTGTATACACTGATGAGCTTTCAATTCAAAGAATGCATTTACAGCTTATAGCACACATGTATGTATATTAAATTTACTGGGAATGAAAACCAAATGAATTCATTATAAGTATATTTGCAGTAACCCTGTTAATGCCTTAAGTTATATTCATACTCCAGTTTTTAAAAACTGATTCCTATAACACTTCTGCTCTGCTAAAAGAATACTGCAAAACAGTCATAGCCATGCACTGGAATTTTTGCTCTACATATATACAGTTTATCAATTTTGTAAACTTTGTAGTTTTTTGGTGTTTGCATGTTTCTGTGCATATACACCAGCACAATGCTGATCCAAGTTCTTAGATTTCTTTGGTGGAATTTTAAGAATTAATGTGTGTTGTGTTGACTAAACATGCTGTTTATCATTTCTTAATTTTTGTCTTCTGTGCGTATTTCGTATGAATTTCTTTGAGGCCCTACCTCTGGGTGTTCTTTGACTGGGACGTACAGCTTTTCCGACACGGTTTGGACAGGACCGATGGGTTCTGGAAGTTCAAGAGGGATGCGGCCATTGCCTTTGTGATGAAACAACTGAAGTCTGACTCTGTTGATTTCTGAAAGAAACAAAAAATAGGGGAAAAAAAATTAATGAGGATCTTATATTTTTGTAACTTTGGTTCCCTCCTTTGAACCGGCATTTACTTTCTTTGCCAAGTCAGCTTATGCTCGAACCAGAAAGACAGATGTAACTGACGTTTGTCTTTGCCGAAAAACAACAAAAAAATTTCTGTACAGCAAATTACTTCCAATTTATTCTCTGCATGGTTGAAATTATTAACTACTACTAACTATAACCTTCTGTTCCAATCAGACCTGGCTTTCTTAAAAGCCTTTCTGGCATTTAATGGAGTTTTTTTTCTCTCAAAAGAAACTTTGCTGCACTTGATCCAACAAGAAACAGTAGATCTAAATGTTTTAAGTTTTCTTCTAATTATTTGCAATAAAGAAAATATTTACTTTCAATCCACAAACCAGAACAGAGAATACTTCAATCAATGAGCATAATGAAGAAGATCAGAAAATATACATAAAAAAAGGTTTCTCAAGAGGAAAATATGAAATTTTACTAATCAGTTTATTCCTTTCTGTTGATCCAAAAATTAAATGGCTTTCCATAATTAATGACTATGATATACTCTTTCTCTTATCCTCCTGTCATACTCAATTAAATAATTAAAAAAAAAAGTATCAATTGTCCAATAGGGAACCTTTTTCCAGGATTGAAAGAGAGCTCCTTTAAACCAAGGATCAGGAAATAGAATATATTAACTTTTTGTGGCCATACATGAAAACTTACAAAACTTCAATTAAAGGTTATGCACCAACTCAAAATATCAAAACAAGTATTCAAAACCATTTTCATTTTAATCATAAATTTCCTGCTAAAAAACCATAAAGTTCTACTTCAGAACCCTTACAAGGATATGGTGAACTAAGAATTTGCAATGGAGTATAAAATTCTGGATCAGACAGTGTGTTCACTTCAAGAAACACCTTGACCAAATACTGAAAGCTGGCCTCATGACCTTATGGACCACCACAACAATGTAGCTTCACCTGCACCCAAAACCATCAATTAGAAACCCTTTAAATCCCAATCCTCTAGGATAAAAAGAAAGCATCCAACCCAGACAAGATAAAAGCTCTCGACCTCAAATCTTTGAATCTTTCTTTTCATCTTTTTAATTAGCAGCTGATCTCCATGATTTTACAAGGAGCCCTCATAAAATGGATAAAAACCTGAAATTATGTGTAGAAAAAATATTATTGAAGTCAGCAAGACCCGGGTTATTCTTAGTTTAAAAAGTAAAACAGTGTTTTTGTATTCAATTATTCAAAACAAAGAATGAATTTTACAGGAATTTAACAGACATTCATAATGTATAGAAAAATTATTTTGAGAATGTTAAGGATGAATTCCTGTACAACTGTATAAGTAAAACAGATATATGGATTAAACATGACCACCAGTGACAAAATGTAAACCTACAGATCTTCTGACCAATATCAGCAATCACATCACCAAGGCTTGACCTCCAAACATAAATCATATCATCTGTACTTAGTCAATAAGCCACAGGATGTTTCCTATTCCGAAAATCCTTAATGAATATTCATGGTCCCTAGTCTTATCATTATTAGCACAATTAATTGGTGACATTGGTTCAATAGTGGGTGAAAACATAACAAATGGGAGATATTGAAGCCTGACTGAGTTTTTCGATCCTTCAGGGCCGAGAAACATCCTGTTCTGTCACAAATAAAACAGTAACCTTCAGAATTCTACAGAGGCCTGTACAAATATTATCAAATGTGGCTAATGAATGAATAAACAGAACATCAATTAACAGCTGTAGTATACCCATTTTTTTTAATTTTTCAGACAGTGAGAGAGGGAAGATTTTGTGTTTTCAATGTAAAAGCACTTGATTTGTTCAAATTGGAGAAATGCTCATGCAGTTCTCCACCATATCCACCATTATATAGAGGAAAAACAAGTTTGTTTAATCTATTATATCCAGTAATTTCCTGTTTTCTTTACTCTATCCAAGACTAAAAAGTTGCAATCATTTCCCATACCAATACAGGAAACCAAAAAGATGGTGGTTTTGGCAAAAAAGTGCTGACCTACAAACTCCTCAAAAACAAAAGTCATCCGACCTAAATATAACCAGGTACATCTACCTGAATGACATTAACGGTTCCCACTGGCGGCTTGTCTTTGAAGAACCCCCCACGTGATGTAACCATTACAACAGTTACACCATCTCTCTAGCTTCAAGCCTCTATGTACTTGCTGATTCTGATCTCTGACTAACTGTACCTTAGATAACAGCTGAAATTCCTTCACCCCTCAATGGTGATAAAACATGACACAGCCACGACTTGTCATTTCGGGAGCCCCCTGGGCAAAAATATGACAATCTTCACCAGGTTTAAGGATCATTTTTACTGCTGTTTTGGCACTGGTTTTATGTTCAATAAATCATTCTGCTGTTATTTTTGTAGTCATCAAGGTGTATGCTAAAAAAATTTTACACCTGAGATACACCTTCTTTTGCAATTAGAATTCCAATGTCTACCATAATGTCACGGGAAAATGGGTAGACAGGTTACAGAACCTGGACATCAGAAGCTGATACTCTTTGACACCTAATTCTATGTTCTTAGCACATAGCTATATGACACTACATGTGTTAATGTGGTGGAATCCATCTTTTCAATTGTTTACAATTTTACACTACATCAAAGCATGTTCCTCTTTTCTATGACCACACAGGAAGTGGTGATCAGCTGGTTTTTAAGTAGATTTACACATCAGTCTTACACTTCCATGACACTCGTGCAGCTTTTTTTATCAAGTATTTTGAACAATTCATATTTACATGAGTACTATCTACTATACATGGACTGTTAAGTGTTAAGGACCCTCTCTACACTGCACCCTATTTTCAGGGTACTTTTGTGTAATTAGACTGACTTACCATTTGACATATTTGACATACAAGTAGAATAAATTGTAATCTGAACTAAATCACATAATTTGAAATAAATTCAAGTATTCTAAACATTATACTAGACCAAAATAGAGTATTTGAAAACTTTATTTGCATGTATTTTAACCATTTGAGTAAATGAAGGCAATTTTTCTTTTCAATTACTTCATTGTCTTTGAAGATTTTTCCTGAATAATAAAGGCACACTCCCTATATTAAGAATAAATTAGTTAATTTCAAAATATCCTCCTTTATGCTAAATAATTTTTCTCAAAGTCCCAAAAACATTTTTCATCAGTGTATAGAGGGTCCTTAAGAGAAGCTGAACTGTCTTGCAAAAAATGATTTGTTCATGTAGACTGTGTATTATTTATTGGATTGTAAAGAAAAATATGATTTATTTACAAAATTCAGTTTGAAAGCATATTTTTCTTAAATCCAAAATCATGGATTAAAAGTAGAATTTTTTACATACAATGTGAATGTAAAAGTGACATTTTGCCTTTTTTGGTGGTTGGGAGATGTCTACTCAGACATCTGCAATTTTTGATTTTCAATTATATGAATATGCAAGTGTTTATCATGTGTAAATGAATACATGTATCTATACTTCACAAGTACTTTTCAGGAACATGTGACAAAACACTTAGAGAATGTCCCTAAATTGATACTGATTTGGTACTGACGTGTACCTACAAGTTTGTGGTCCCTTTCCCCTGTCTCTTTTGTTGATCATTAAGTACACTGTAATTGTGCACTTGACTTCAAGCTTATTAATCTAGGCCTCCTACATTTCCAAGTTCTATACTGTATTAATATAAATATGTAATGTGTACTATCTACTTAGCTGTTGGGTTTAAAAAAGGATTAAAACCTTCCAAATAAAACTTAAAACTAGTTAAATGTCCACATAATGATTTTTGTTGTGAAACAAAAAACAAACTTACTGTAAGCCAGTGACCAGTAATTTTTTCTGAATGCCCCCCTGCAACTAAGTAAAATCTGATAACGTTAGTAGGGATTAGATTTTGAGGTAACCGAGTCTATTGAAAACTGTTTTATATGTTAAATGCCAGGCACCCTTATTTCTTTATAATGCCTTTTCATCTGAAATCAAAACAATTCAACTTAAATACATTGCACAACACTTTTAATCTCCATGGAAACATTTTTAATCAGCTTAAAAATTAATTCAGTAAGTGCTGATCTTTGTGGGACCAATGGCATTATTTAGATGAAAGATTATAGAGAAAAAAAAGACTGTTTTCATATGCATAAAAGTCACAATTCTAGCAAATATACATGGAAAAAAAAAACTGAAGACAAGTGGGGGGAAACCATGAAAATTTTTGAATGTCAGTGAACAAATTGCACAAACAGCCACTGTGTGATGCCAGAGTTTATTCTGCAATCCCTGGGAAAGCCTTTTTTTGTAGAATTTAAAACATCTGGAAGTTATTGGTTTCCACAGAGCTGTAACTCTATACCCCTACCCTGAACAAAGACATCTATTGCCAGCAGGAGTTGATAGCAATCTTAACAGTCATGAACATAGAAATTGGCCCAAATTGAAAAAATCCCCCCAAAATATCTTGACCCAGCCATAAAACATGACTTTTTTTAATACTCTTAAGCCAGGCGCTAAAATTTACCATGACTGATCTTCAGATGGATAAACTTCATTCCACAAGACCTAAATCTATCCAGTTTTAAATACAGGCTGGGCATCTGGTCATGCCAAAATCAAAACCAGTCTCTAAACACTGATCCAAAATCCCTTGCAATCTGGTTTTTTCAGCCATTTTCAGTTAGCATGGTTTATGAATACAATTTCATCTGCAGGCCATTTGAACCCTAACAAACCCATACAAGCTAATGAGAAACACCTATGTTCACTTAACTAAAACTACTGGCTTGCTCCTCAGCAAATGACTACCACATTCTGTTATTGTGTTGGAAAACATCACTTTGCAATGGATTTCAATTGGAACATTCATGAACAAACACATTTTTAACACATGTTTGAATCATCTGAAAATTTTCCCCCAATATGAGTCTTTCAAGAATGTGGAAATGAAAGCATTTCCAAGCTAAATCGTAACCCTTTTACTATCAATAACAAATGTGTGAAATTTTCTCAACAATTTGTGTGATCTACACTTTAAACACCCATTTCTCTCTCATTCCAAGTACAGTTCAATTACACACTGCGTTTGGGAAATCAATATGATGACATGAGTAAAGGCTACATCACAGAGCCCCTCGTGCAAAGTGCACTCTAAATTCAAAGTTTAAAATTAATTCACTTCCCTGCCATTAAATTACTACAACTAGACACTTGAGCATATAAAATATTCAAATGATATACACAATTAAATCCCAGGTCTATATAAAGATATGCATTTTCTTGTGAAACTCGTACCTGAATTTATCCTCAGTGGCATATCTTGGATAATTAAATTATCTTTATATGAACTTGACAATAGAGAGAAAATGATGTGGTTATTCTTTGTGTAAAGTTTTCACAATTTTTAACATTCAACGTCCATGTTGTCTGCCTAGAAATAGTACGTAGTTCATTTCTTGAATATTCTCAAAATATTCAAATAAAGTGAGAGAATTCCAGCAATTATAATCTAATTGCTCTTTCTGACCCTGAAAAGGGTCTCAAAACCCTTTACTTTACAAGACTGTATCAATCCCTTTACTTTACAAGACTGTATCAATCATTGATCTTTTTTGCCTTCTACATTTATACGACTAGAATTTTGTACGCATATTTCTAACCATGTTAAAGATAACTTCGCAGCAAGAATAGTCCTGACCAAGACATCAGACTACTGTATTCACGGTATACAAACAAAGTGCACTGATTCATTCACTTTGCCAAACGAATCTATTGAGCTAATTGATTCTATCTCTCTAAAAATGCGAACAATACAGAACCTAAACAAAGGCAATGACAAGCACAAACACTATGGAAGCCAGCATCGACACAGATTCCTCATACAAAAGCCCCCCAAGCCTGTCGGGCGTGTCAACGAAACCCCCTGCAAACAAAGCCCGTTGACTTTTGTAACCAATGCCTTGTAACATGAGAATCTCCATCGTACATCTATCTACCCGAATTTACCAATAAAATAAAAGGGTCACAAATGCCCTGATACAGTATCTTATTTGGAGATTCCCAAGATTGCTGGATAATGATTTCTGAACACTGGGTATTATAATTGTAACGCATTGTGTAGGCCTATCTAACCATGACTGCGAAGGTAGTCTTTCTCTGTGTTATTATTCGTCATGTTCTTGTGTCGATAAATAGACGTCTGTTATTTCAAACCAGGTAGATAGACCCCACTCCCATTATACACGGCCCAAGGAGGATGACCTAGCTAGCATCTAGATTTGTGCATTTCTTTCACATGGGAGCTTCTAAAACCTAATTCACATGCTCACAAAGGGGTAAAGACAATCAGGGAAATATTTTGTCTAAGGTAGAATCTGATTAGGCTCTGTTTCAACAATAGAAAGGAACAGAGAGAATTTTTCCTGCTTCAAACCAACAGTCTAGATAACAATGGGCTCAATTTCAAAAGGGGTCAGACCAATTATTTCCCTGTTAAAATGATAAATGGACAAATACCTGCTTAAAAATAAAATTTCACACAACATATTCTGAAATTAAAACGCAAATTCTGTTTAAATTTCCTGGAATAGATAACCAATATATACATGATAAATTTCCATGAAATTGAACAGTGAAGAAAAAATTACATTATAGATAACTTTCTTGGCTGATAATAGTATATAAACATTAGCATTTTTCCCCCTTTAGACAAGATGGAACATTTCGTCTTGAATAGAAGACTACCATCATTCAACAAGATAGCAATCTAGGAACATGCTAGCATCAATTTCAGACTTGGGACTCCCAACACATTCTGCCAAACATTTATCTTTGTCTCAAAATTCCTTCATGTCTCAAAAGAATTTTTTTCATTTTTCTAAAATTAAAAAAAATTGCTGACTAAAATCTTTTAAATAGGATTTTCCATCATTAACCTGGTTATAAATCATCAAATACTCTCAGGAAAATCAAGTGTATGTTGACTTGATAATGAAAACCAATTTTCACAGCAAACATCTGGTTTATTGAAGACTAATTGAATTTGGATGTCCCTTGCAATAATCCATTTTAATAGGTCCTTGTTTCATTGAACTATGGTTTTTGTGAAACACACTCATGTTAAAATCCCTCAATCCTGTCAATGCAGGAAAAATACAGGAAAGAAAAATTTTCAAGTGCTTTTATTGCACATGAAACACAAGCATCCAGCGAGTCGGCTTTTTATAAAAATTAACATCCAAAGTATTTTTTAAAACTTTCCCCATACAGTGTGAACCTTGTGACCACTTAAATCAAATTTCTATGTAGTTTCCTGATGTGAAGTGAAATATTTTCACGATGTGGACAAAGTCTGCACCAATACCACATTTTCCTTCTCTGATCCATTTCTGCTGCATCTGTCACTGAACACAAACTTTACTCTGGGGCTTTTTTATGGTCTAAAAATCTGGATTAAATTATTAACATTTTTAAAAAGTTTTAAATGAGATTGTTCATACCTTGTCCTTTAGTCTGATCGTCCTGTTAGCCTTTAGACTAAGGGCTCGGTGTAATTGACTCACAATCCCTTTGTCCTGAGAAAATGTAGAGCTCATATGTAATTTGTCCATCTTCTTTCACAAATATTAAGTCGTAATTCCACTTGCACAGCACTTTCTGTTTTTGCAATTTATTTTTATTTTTTCAAAAATTTCTATCACAGGGGTACTATGCAAAAATTATTGTAGTGGGGGGGTCATCTTGTTTTGTCAAATTCTGTTAGCTGATACCCATCAAGTGTTAGTATATGTCATTACTGATGTTAAGTATATAAATAGATATGTATACATGGTTTTAAACTCATGTCCACTGTGCATATAAAGAAAACCCAGCCACATTCAGCCAGTCAGATACTGTTTTTGGGGGGTGGAAAATAATTTGTTACATTAATAAAATGCTCATGAGAAAAACTGTTGAGTAAATATAATGATAAAAGACAAACTAGTCAACTATGTTAGAAAATTATGGCTGGAAAAATGGAACGACCATGAGTAATACAGCTGCATTCATATTAGGTAATTAATTAATATCCAAAAAAGGGTGCATGATGAAATGAAATTATATATACCGGTATGAATTAATATATATCTCTCTAGCCCAGTGCTCTCTGTAATTCATACACAAAACTGGCAAAATTACGAACTATTCAAAAAACACTGCTGCACAAACCGTTGAACCAGACAATCCAAAAGCACTCTTAGAAATTGTCACTTTATTAGCACACAAAATTAATTAAATGATATTATTACAGTAATCTAATGATGGGTTATAAAGGAGATCAGTATACTCCCAAAGCATCTCGTTAAAAGATTCTGTCAAGTGGGATAAAAAAAAGAGAAAGACTTTTGCATGCTGACAATACATGAATTCAGTAAAAATTACATTACATGATCAGTGCTACGTTACAAGAGGATTTTAGGTGGTCAGACAAGGGGGATAACTGCTGCATTAAAAAAGGTGCACAACTCCTCAAACAACCCTGCATATTTTTTTGCCACAGCTTGCTCACCAGGTATATATTATTGTCATAGCCAACTTCTGCCCAAGGATAAAAAATTGTGATTTCAAAAAGCAGAGAATCAGTGAAAGCATTGTGCACACCAAAGTGTGGTCATATTCTTCAATACAAAATCTAGTTCTTGTTAATTTGACAGCGCAGGGAAAGTCGGATTTTTTTTAATAATTAAAATGCATTTATATTATTCATAGAATTTATTAATCAACTGGGAACTTTTTTTTCATTGTGCCCAATTGTCAATTTTGCAAGTCAAAAGTATAATAATTATCAATTTCTAAATAATTCACTTTTAATTTTTCGGTAGGCGCTACTATATCAAATAAAACCGTTTCTCTGTCAACAATTTTAATCTGTAATATAAACACCTGTGCGAACAGGTGAGCTAATACAAAATTATTTATCGCCACCTTGTTTGAACAAGGATTGACGGATTCAGATAAGACGAAAACGCGCCAAATTCACTTGAACAAAATTGGTGAAATTTTTGTCATTCATAGAATCGCAAAATAAAGATTATTTCTAGCAAACGCCAAAGACTGCTTTCTTTTTCATAAAAATGAAATTCCAGTTCTTTTTCGTGTGCAGTGAAGTGCGAGATTCAAAATGGCTGCCAAAAAATCACGGCACCCATTCTGAATAATTACTGCCAAAGTGCCAAATGAATCCTTTCTTTAATCGTTTTTAGTCAAGAAGTGGCATTGAAACTTATAAATGAATATTTGTATTCGTAATTACTGTATATTTTCAGTGCTGTTAAAAGGCGAATTCACTTTTGAAGCGAGTTTGCAAGTTGAGAAAGTTTTGTAAACATACATGTAACAGAGTTCACGGCTCAGCGCATTCGCTCGATTTTCTCTCATGACAAATACTTCCTCTTAATCACTCGAAAAAGGAGAAAATTTAGGCTGACTAAAATTTACACGACATAGAACTTGTTTAAACGAAACCGAAAGTTTTTTAATCCTCCAAGTTAAAGAAACTTACCTTCGTCTAAAAGTTTTTCTAAATGCACAAAAACGTTGGGAAAAGCCTGTATCTGCTTTTTGTCTTTGAGTAGCTGTGCTAGATACTCAGGAGTGTTACGCTCGTCTTTATTAGTTTCAGTCCCCATGTTAAAACAAGCGCCTGAGCTGCAAAACTACCAAAGTTAAGTAGGGGTTAGAATCCAAAACTACAAATCACTACAATAAGTTCTTATGTTCCCCCTCTATCATGTAAAATTGTTTATGAACACGTGCTAAGCATTGCGCATGTCTATGACGGATCACTGCATTTAGCTTATAAGGGGTGTCCAGGACGGTTTCACGTTTTTCCTCGAACTTGAAAGAGAACTTTCATCGCTCTGAATTCTGATCGATTAATATATCCAGCATAGTATTATGAAAGTTTATTTATTTTAAATGAAAAGATTGCTGCAGACGGATGCAATGAGAAAAGTAGGGGAAGTTGACACCCCACGCCCGAGGAATGCAGGGATTTGTTGACATCTGACAGGTGATCGAGAGGTGGACCTTACGACAGCGTGATGCACTAACTCAATATTTTCTTTACAAATCAGAACTCATATTCCATTAATCAATTACACGGGAAAGACATGTTCTAATAATATGTAATTAATTGACTCATTTTAAAGGCATGCGCTGCAATGTGATTTATTTGATTCAACATTTATCGATCCGCGCCTGTGTACCTATAACATGCTTGGAATAATTTTAAGTAAAGTATATAAAACGGATTAATTTCTTTTAAATCTATCTTGGTTAATCCGGTGTTAAGTATTGAGTTTTCAATGACCTTTTTGTGTGTACTCTAAATTAATAAATACTTGTGGAAAGAAATTTAAAAAGTTGCACGACGATTAACTAATTAAGACCTACATTGTGTTGGATAAATCCAGCAATCCCACGCTAACGTTGACCTGTATAACTTATTTAATTCTTAGGTATAAACAGATTTTAATACCTATATTTATCAAGATATAATCTTTAAAACTTTCATTCAATTTATGTTACACTGAAAAACATTTTTATCATCTTAAAAAAAAATAATTATCCAACATATAGTGTCTGAAAATAATTTAAACTTAGAACTACATATTGTGTCATTAAATCTTTACCACAATAATAACTCTATAAAAAACATGATTTATATTAAGAACAAAGTAGAGCCTACATTCACAGGAACTATATCAAGTTGCGAGAAAAAATCTGTTCACGCACCGTTGAAAAAAAATTTGGGGTCATAAAAAGCCGATAAAATCTTGACATGAAGAGAATGAAATATGACAAGACCTTGTCTGGAATTGTCACGTGTGTATAAAAAATTCCTACAGAGACTGTATTAGATGAAGAAATGAAAGATTTGTTCCAATATTTAATGGGGGCTAGTTATGAGATAGAATCATAGTCCTAAGTACCTTTACGCTCACATGTATGACACAATCAATATAAAAAAAAAAAAAAAAACCAACAGGGCCCTTAAGAAAATCTCAATACAAAAATAAACAAGAATTTTTTACTTTTTCTTAAAACGTGGGTATAGGAATTATAGTTCTCTAAGGCACACATGAACTTGTTCCCTGGGCTACAAGGGGTGATTTTGGGATAGAGCTGTGCGTCTAAGATATTAATTGTACCCCGAACTTTTACATACACTTGTAAATATATATTATGCATATACTTCTCCAAGACTTGGTCTGTCTTTTTTGTAATGGCAAGAAAATATCTGTTTTATAACACAGAACTTCAAAATCTGTTTCTAGGGGTGGGATGTCGCCCCCTCCCCTCTCCCCAAGACGGTGATAGTTCTGCTATGACTGACATATAGGATTATACAGACCAAATAAAGAAGTTCTTGATTGTATGTAGACGATGCAAGATTTTTGCGTCAAGACTCGAAGATCTGTTTAACCAAGGAATTCTACTATTATGTTGTATCTGTTGAATCGTCGATGAATTCCTGATCGTTTTGATAATCAAAAATTAGTGAACTGTTTTAGATCGAATGCAGATAGTAGCACTTCAGTGTAGCCTATCTTTGGTTTGTTCTCCAAAGAATCTACATGTATTCAGTGGCGGATCCAGGATTCTTGAAAAAGGGGGGGGGAAGTTTGTAGTCGGGGTAGGGGCCCAAAGTCCTTTATTACCAAAAAATTTGGAAACCCTACAAATGTAGGTCACCCTCTATACAAGCTTCGGGTTAACTTGTGCGCTTAGAGCACGCAGTCACCCGAAGGGGTTCCAAGTTCCGAAAAAGAAGATTGCCCATTTAAGTTTTTGTACTAACAGTTTAAAGTTTACACAATTTACAAAATTTCTACTGATTAGGCCTGCAAACGTATACTCTGTTAAATATTTTAAGTTTGTTATTTTATGGGTATATAAACACGTGTACTTCCTTTTCATCAAGCGCAGAAGTGCCTTTTGAACATTGCATGTACGAGTGTCGTGACACTTACAAATGATACTTAAGCTGTCTAATGACAAGGACGTCATCTTTTTCCTTGTTGATTATATACAATCAAAGTGAGTTTCAAAATCTTCCTTATAGATTAAACGGACAATAGCTATGGAAATATTTCATTTGAGAGAGAGAGAGAGAGAGAGAGAGAGAGAATGGGGATTTTCATTTTGGAGATGGACTGGGTATAGCACCAAGTTCAACAAAACTCAAATTATTCATAATATAGTATGTAGTGTTGTATAGTGTCTGCAGCTGAATATTCCATTTACTATCAGATATGGCAATATTGCATTTTGCAATGCATTAGATAACTGAATATATGATTTACATTGAAAAATTAAATAGAATGTATATATGTACTCATCAGCTATTTTAACTGCAATTGGTGATGTATTTATGGACGATTAAGCCCCTTGTTATACCAGTATAGTAGGGGTTTATGTCGCTGAGTTAACAGCACGATGTAGCATGCACATTTTCAAATAATTAATCAAGTTTGTAAAGGAATCCAGACACGTCTTAAATTTATTAGAACTCTTCACCCGTAATTAATGAAGCACTGATATTTGGTCAATAGCTGGTATTTGACAACTTATTACGAGTGTTTCGGCAGTATGAAAAACACATGTCATTTTTAATAGTTAAGGTACAAAGAAAAGTAAATTTCTATGAATTAGAATTTATAATTGCAAACAAATGATACGGTTAACAATTATTGTTAAAGTTCATATTGCAATACACAGGTATCTAGTTTTCTGTAGATCACTGAATTTTCGCAACACCTTATTTCCACGTAATTGTTATTTAGTATGTATAAACTATAGAAAAAATTTTCACGAATTCGGTTAATATACGCGAAAATGAATTTTCACAAGTAGACATTCTGGCGTTGGTACACGAAAAAATAGTTCTCGCGAATATATAGTGATTTACAGTAATTAAAATATGATGAGATTCATGCACAAGTGAGGATGTTATTCCTTCGTTTCACTAAGTCTCGGAAAATTTCAATTATTTACCAAGTCTCGGAAATTCTTGAGTGTTCACCAAGTATAGGAATATCTCGAGCATTCACCATGTCTCGGAAGTTTTCGAGCGTTCACCAAGTCTCGGAAAATCTCGCGTGTTCATTAAAAGTCGCAAGAAAACATGCATGCATGTAATAGCTAAGATTTTCCTTCTAATTGCTTAATAAAAAACTTCTGAGATTCTCTCTTTATTTTAACAGAGATTATTTTATTAGACATCAAAGCAACAACGTCAAAATTTCGGTGTTCGTCAAGCGTTCGACTGGATTTCAGTTAATATACTTGTTACTGTCACATTTTTAAGTCGTATTTGCAGATATCATTTTTTTGATATATTATATCTTTTTTTTTCATCTATTTATCATTTTTTTAATATGTAAATTTCAGATTTACTATTATGAGGAATTACAGCATTGGTGGACTTGAGAGGATCCTGAGAGAATTTACTGGCTGTGAAACTTTTGAAAGATAGTTGGTTAGCTTAATAAAACATGTATAATGAAATAGATCTTGTATGTATATATCTATTATTGCATATATCTATTAGGCTGTCTGGCATTCTCCTTAAAATTCTTGAATTATATGCAAATGTTTTGAAAAACTCCAATTTTTATAAACGCAAGCGGTGGGATATATACTCGTAGCAGTATATCGATATATAATACAAAGCGAAGTAGTATATTTATGCAATTTGGATTTATAATTCAAATAAGCGTTCTTCAGAGTATGCGTTTCGAGAAATGATGTCAATTGTATCTTTTTAAAATCAATTTTATCTAAAAATGGATTCCATCGACTATTAACCTTTCCATACGAAGACAAAAAAGTTCCATGTGCATCTTCCATAAATATCCAATACAAAGAAACTCAAATCGAAATGGCCAATTTTCTCAGCATTGACAATGAGATACAGTGCATAAAAGTGATTCATCATCAACCTCCCGGAGAAAGCCCTAGAATTGTTTTCTTTACTCGGTCACATTTTCCATAGTATATTAATTTACATTGACGGAAAAACTATAGAAATATATAACAGGAAGAAATAGATTCTGTCAGTTCTGTCTGTCAAAAGACGGAACAAGAAACCGTGTTCTTTGGATTTTGCTCTCGGCAAATCCAATAACTAGCCTCCAAGACATTCCCAAGCCTTAAACATACGGTTTTAAACAAATATATTCAGGGTTCCACGTCTGGGACCAGGGTCCATTTTACCATATGGCCCTTTGGGAAAACGGTGCATGTTATCGCGTGCAGGATATAGAACAGGACAGACAAAACTGTTACAAAACAGTTAATTACATTAGGTAAAACCCCGAGACGCCCCGAACTAACCAATGAAATTCTAAATTAACTTTGATGCTAAGTCCCAAAAGGTTTAAGCTTGCATAAAAAACAGATATCGACCTGTTGATTAATGAACTTTCATGATAAAAACAACTTCCATTGGCTGGTTTTATCCACTCATCAAAATTCCGAATCTTTCAGAAATGGATAAGAATAGTAGAATTTGCCGGATAACGTAATAAAGTCACGTGATTTGATTCTCTAAAATGATTATCACCAAGTTCGTGTGAATCACTCACTATAGATAAATAACCCTCTCTTATAATGATTAATGAAGAGAATAACTGCCTTTATTTTGCACACGCTCTGTCGCTTCCAATATATGTCGGAAGAACAATATTTTCCAGAGCCTCATTGAATCAGTTTGGTAAAATAGGACAATTCCTGATTAGTCCATAGCAAATGTGT